CAAAGTCCATCTTTTGAGTATCATCACTATTTTCTCATTACTACTTTCTCCTAAATATTATGTGAATCGTGAGAGCTTACAAGTTTTATAACGACTCATGTATAACCACAAGCTCTTATCGTCACTACATACGTAGCGTTAACAGTCTTTCATTCATAAATCTTCACTTTATAGTATTAACGTAGAATATTGATTGAAAAACGAGAAACGTTTCGTGGAAAGTATAGACTATAGATATTTGTCGCTAATTCAATATTACTGCATACTGACAAATGAATATATTATATTTATAGTACTATTACGACCAGGTCGCGGTGGCCAGAGGTTAAAAGGCCGCCCCTCGTGCACGAGGGCGCGGGTTCAGCAGTGGGCTCTGATAGGCTGATGATGATGATAACGTCAAAAAACTAATAATATGATAATACCTACACTAATAGTTTGGAAATGTGTCATTATAACATATTAATTGATATTATAATTATATATCGACTTCAACATCAATAGTATTCAATGAAGATATATCCATCGAAATCTGTAAAGACGCGTAACATTAAAAACTTGTTTTGAAAGATATCATTAAATATTATTTATAATAATCTAAATACACAAGAATTTATCATATAAAATAGTAAAAAAACCGAGACATTATACATATACAGGGCGACTGCCGACTGGTGAATTACTATCGATATTTGAGGACGTGATATTTGACGATCATATATGACAAAATAAAAATTAATATAACATAAATATTAATAAACTTCTAAGTAAAGTTAACCAAAAGTTATGTAATTAATTACGCATCGTATGAACACCCTACAGATTAGGTATACACACACACACACACTCGCGCGCGGCGGCGTGTTGTTGTATCAGCACGCCGCCGCACGCGTCCACACTTGGAACACTTGGAACGTGTACACACTTTATTTATTTATACGGAAATTGGTCAAAAATTAAGTGCCTATTTTTTTTACATAATTCGAATGAGAATCATGTACCGAGTATGCTCCTTAAATATTGATAGTAATTCACCAGTCACCCTGTATAGCTGAATTGAAAACGCATTTTGTTTACGTCGATCCAAAAAGATTACTACTAATTTGATATGGTTTTATCAACTTATTAAGATATTCCAAAACATGCATTTTCGTTAAATATTTTTCATATTACACATTAAATCATGTTCTAAATATTGTTCAATCAATACATACTTAACACTATCCTGGCCTTTTCTATTAATTTTTCATATATATTATAATTTGTTATTTAAACTATATGGTCATAATGATTTTCCTCTCAAGTGATTAATAAATGAATCGGTCGAGTGACAGCTTGTGATTAAAATTGGTAACCGGACGATAGGTTGTAGGTTATGTGTGGCGTGTGGCGGGATATCACGACTTTAAGCACTTTTGCCATCAAGCGTTGGTAGGACTAGGGTGACCATGATCACTAAGATTTAAAGTACAGAATAATAATATATTGTGACAAATAATATGCCTTTTTTGTTCTGTACATAATTTAATATATATTTTTGATAACCATTACGAAATTATTTTCATCAAATCATAGTCACCAATTCTTTTTGGATGATATGAATACGATATTGTTTTTGAGATAGTCAAAAAATTTAAGTCAAACCAATAATTTTTCTTCTTATCCACAAGTATTTAGGATCATGGTCACCCTGTAAGCGTTATTCCCCACGAGTCCTGATCGCATGTGGACAGTTTTAATTGCCAGCCATCCACACTCGCCCTTGCCTCTTCCTGTTTGTCAACATGACGTCACTTCCTGGCCACTCTTCGATGACAAAACGATCCGATGTGATGTCTCATTAATTTCCGATAACCAATAAACTAGCATAGATTTTATAATAATACTTTAAATAACTCTAAATATATGTATATATAAGCTTATCAAATTTAATAAAGACTAGTTAGTAATTAAAATACACAAAAAAAGCCTTTTCTCTTTAGTTTTCGTACAATCACTACTAATATTATAAATGCGAAAGTAACTCTGTCTGTCTGTCTGTTACGCTTTCACGCCTAAACCACTGAACTGATTTTAATGAAATTTGGTACAGACATAGAGTTGACCTTGACAAAGAACATAGGATAGTTTTTATCGCAGACTTGTGAAAGGTTCTGTTGGAAACGCGTTATACCCGAATTCCACGCGGGCGAAGCTGCGGGCGGAAAGCTAGTTATATATACAGTTATTATATTTAACGTAGTTTTCAATTTATTTCTCGATGAGTTTGTGTACTCTTCTCCCTTACATTATATTTATAATAACCAAAAAATAATTCTGAAACCTGACATTGACGTCGCGTCACGTACACTGACATACTATCAACGGTCATATTACGTCTAACGTTTATTAATTTATTTAAAATAATTCAATATATATCAATATATTTATAGTCAATACAATAATTACAAAAATAAAGTAAAGGGAAAGTTTTTTAATGACTAACATCATTATTAGTCAATAGTGAATGCAATTTGTATAACTATGGTTAAATAACCAATTGGATTGTAGTCGGACAAAATACAAAAAGATAATTAAAATATTGGTTTGAAAGAAAATAGTATTGCTTAAAAATGAAAATGTTTTTTTGTTAAACTTATGTGTTTGATTAATAAATACGTTAATAAATACGGAGATTCGTAATTAAATTAAATTTATGTAATAAAGGTGATCAAATTCACTTACAAACTGAAAAACTAAAATTAACGTCTTTGTAAACCTTTACACCTCAATTTTATACATACTATTCTTTTTTAAACTTTTGTTCAAATTAAAGTCCAAATAAGAAATCGATTAAAAAAAGAAAATTAAAAATTTCAATGAATATTCATTCTTTAATAATACTATATTAAAATATTAAATCAGGTAGTCACGGGCAAATATTTACTAGATTTGCCGGGACCTAAATTACCATCACAGGCCCCTTATGAAAATTTGGGTAGGAGCCTTCTTTCTAAAAGTCATGCCTATGTCGAAGACTATGAAATGACTACTTTTTATTGAGAACCATTAATATACGACGCTTGTAAGATACAAAACAAAACTAAATTAGTATAATATTTAATTTTATCGGCAAAAAACATTCAAGTAACATTAGAATGAGTTTTTGATAACATCTTACTAATGCTCGAGGCCCCTCTAGTGAAGAGGGCTCAGTACCTGATACAATCTGATAACTTACATTAAATGAGCGTAATAGAGCATAGTGTATGTATCTCCCTGTGACCCCCTACAACCCCCTCTCAACCCCTGAAAACCCCTGCCAACCCCTGCCCCCGGCGTGACGCTGGCTCGTCTCCCCGTGACACACGTCACCGTAGTGACACGTAACATGCTTTGTGTAACGTCGACATGGCCGCGGGTAATGGCCGACTATACAGCACGTTCACAAAACATGTACATTGTTTTTTGATTTACAATAATATACATATCAAGATATACAAGTAATATTTATATAAATTATACAATATTTTGATTACAGAGTATATTCTAAAACATAGATAAATCTTTCTTGACTTACATAATATATATGTAGTAATCGTTTTTAGTTCAATCAGAATGATGATATTTTGAACATTATAATAAACATTATTATCACGTAAATCCTGGTTGAATCACTAGTTGAGTTTCAACCAAAATATTAATATGTCCAATGAAGCAGACTCGTGGCTGCAGGCGATACTTTGGTATCACAAAGATGATGGCCAAAGCTTGTCGACGGCAGAAAATCTTTTGAACATTAAGTACAACTGATCTGTTTTGATGTAAACTACAGCTCGTGTACAGTTCCTTACTGTTTAAAATTATTCAAAGGAACTGTCATCTCTACGATGGACGAAAATTCATTTACGAAACATTAAATTATATCCTAAAGAAAGAATAATGGAGCAGTAAAATGATAATAATATTCAAAATAACAAAGAAAGAACTTCAATGACCCAAACCTATATCTTAATTGTATAAATCAATAATCATCATCATCAGCCTATCTGCGCCCACTGCTGAGCAAAGACCTCTCTCTTCTCACATGGAGAAGGTTTGAGCATTAATCACCACGCTTGCTCAACACGGATTGGTGATTTCAATCTTATAATTGTGATATTATAAGTCCAGATTTCCTCGCGATGTTTTCCTTCGTCTGTCAGTGGTGTCTTAATACTCTTAGAAACTACATATGACTCGGAAAAAAATCACATTAGTACCATGTACTTATTATAACTAAAAAATAAATTTTAGTATTTCATGCGATCCAAAAACATATTTTCCTACACTTATAACACAATCGTAATATGAACAAAGTTACTTTGCAACATTTATATATTGGTTGGTGTGATTTTTATAAAAATACGATTCCATCATAAAGCAGGTATAGTTTAATTAATATAAAAGTGAAATAAAATATATAAGTTGGTCAAAATTATTTAATGTTTCGGGACATTTCCCAGTAATCGTATATATTTATTAATTCCAGTAATTCCCATTGTTTAGTCACTGCTCCCGGACAGTGTGTCATTAATTCTCGAAATTCTGAATTTATTGTAAATTATAATTTAGTCGACTTTATAAATAGTTTATACCACAATTTATTCTCTAAAATTGGTTGGAGTGAGGAAGAAAACAAATATTCATGATAAAACACAATAATATGATAAAAATATATGACTCTTATTTCTTGCGAAATTTGCCCCATTGATTGGATAGAATAGTCAATAAAAGATATTAAAAAATATATTAACGAAAATATAACTCATGTTTCATTCATTATAATAAGTAAATGGCACATTCTCAATTATCAGATTTATCAACAATAAATATCTGAAAATACCTACACATGCGCTATTAAAACGCATATCAAACAATTATATCCAAATAAATAAACTAAATATTATTAATAACAAGACAAAGAACAATTAAATGACTATATATTAATTATTTACCGGTTATATTTCCGTAAACAGTGCATGAACCATGAGGTCATTTTGAGGTTGACTCAAAAGTCAGGGTCGCCTCAGTCAGTTAAGATCGTACGCTCTCTCTTGACAGACATGAGAACCACGGTGAGGATATATTATTATATTTATTAACATATTTATATATAAATAAACATATAATTCCTTTTAACTAAGCATAATTATGAGATCTAATGCTTTCGCGAGTACTCATTTAAAAGAAACTAATATTATTCGGATTACTACATACGCGTTTTTTATAATTGTAAAAACTACATACTCCCGACGTTTCAATTACTTTGTTAATCGTTTTTCTTAAATAATAAAATACACGTAGTAATCATAAAAATATTAGTTTCATTTTAGCATAATTATTTTTATTTCGCTTCTATAATGTCACAATTAGGGGAGAGTTGGTTATATCGTACTAGCATTTAAATCGTACCACTTCTAAATTTCCCATTTAATGAATATTTTTTTCTACACTGACAACAACAAATCGTGGCCCTGGACCATCCCTCTTCACTCACTAGTTTAAATCGACGTGAGATAACAACTGTGCAAGTAATAAAAGGAAAACATTTTTTGTAGGAATTAATATAAATATTGTCGTACATTCGTAAGGAGATAACTCGTAATCAAGGTAAGTTATAGTTATTCAGTTTTTTTTATTATTCCACAATTGTATACTAGATTATTGGGGGGTTTTGTTGCGTGTTTAAGTTTTGAGTTTATGCCGGATATTTGCTTATGTTTTAGAAATGCCTTAGTTGGTTTAATCGTACCACTTGCAGTTGGTTAAATTGTACTGGTACGATTTACTCGACTACCAACCGCAAGTACCTATAGTACTACCGCAAATACTTACATATAGTAAGTACTACCTAAGGCCAAAAACAAAAGTTATAAGAGGAAACGATCTCATTCCATCACCAGTAACGATGATTCAGGAGAGACACTTGTTGTAGAACTAGATGATGATGATGACAGCGATGATTATCTTGAAAATATATGTCGAAAGTGCAATTGTTCTTACTACGATAAGAAGGGTCCAAAAGTTGATTGGATTCAATGCGTTCGCTGTAAACGGTGGCTACATGAGACATGTACTTCGAATCCAGACATTTGTCATGGTTGTTTCTATTAAGAAATATGCACAATAATTATATTACAAATAACATTCTTGTTAACTATTACTTTATTATTATAGTTTACTGTTTTTTTTTTTGTCTCATTTTTATTAGTTATGTTGATTGATCTCATTATCAGAGTATAATCATGTTATTTTACTGAGAAAGCTTATACCTAGTTCCTTTATATAGGGTGTTTTTTTTAGAGATATACAACTTTAAACTGCCAATACTTTCTTAACTGGCAGTTATTTTGACAGCTGTCATGTGATTTGTATTTAATTTGGTTTGGCAATTTATCATGAATAGACTAACGCCTGAACAACGCCCCCAAATTGTCCAAATTTATTTTGAAAATCATGGCTCTGTTTCGAAAAACGTATTGCGCACTACGTCCATTTTACGGTCCACATAATCGTCCATCAGAACAATTAATTCGATTAACAATGGAACGTTTTCGCACTACACTTCCTCTAAATGATAATACGCATCCACAGAGATGTCGTACAGTGCGTACAGAAGAAGTTATTTCTGCTGTAGAGCGTAGCGTAGAAGAAGACCCGAATCAGTCTTTCCACCATCGTGCACAGGAATTGAATCTGTGTCCATCAACCTTAAGGAAGATTTTGCGGAAAGATCTTGCTTTGCGTGTTTACAAAATCCAACTCGTGCAAGAATTGAAGCCTCGCGATCACCTAACAAGGCGTAGATTCTGTGAATGGGCTCAAAATAAGATTGCCGTTGATCCCAATTTTCATAAGCGAATTTTGTTTAGCGGTGATTTAACGCCGCTTGATTATTTTCTGTGGGGATATGTAAAGTCGTTGGTCTACGCTGATAAGCCCGAAACCGTTGATCACTTGGAGGATAACATTCGTCACGTTATTGCCGATATACAGCCACTAATGTTGGAAAAAGTCGTTGAAAATTGGACCTCCAGTTTAAACTACGTCCGAGCCAGTCATGGAGGTCATATGTCTGAAATCTTATTTAAATTATAATGACAGAATATTATCTTTCCAAAATATTATATTTCATATCAATAATAAAAATCATTTTTGTTTTATTTTATTTCAAAGTTCTATACCTCTAAAAAAAACACCCTTTATAACCTAAGAGTTAAAAATTAAGTTTCTATTACCTAAAAGATATTAATAATGTTGTTTTACTACTTACCTAACAGTTAAAAATAAATAATTTGATTGAGAATTTTAATGTCTTTCATTCAGTGGTACGACTTAAACACCCATGGTACGATTTAAAGACTTAGTGGTACGATTAAAACGACTAGTCGGCTAAATCGTACCGATGGCAAGCCTCTATAAAAAAGCATTTTTAACAATGTTAGAATAATCGCAAGGATCTGTTCTCTTCTTCTTAGGAAACTAAAATATGAAACTTTATTTTACATATGTATTAATTATTATAAGACGTGTTATAGTCGAAATATTTGAGTTAAAGTGAAAAGTGGTACGATATATCCGACTCTCCCCTATAAACTTTTAGTGGCATAATTTTTTTCACCTAAAATATTAGGTAGGTACCTACACGATTGAAAATATAAATCTTTTTAAAAGCTTAATACAAATATATTGTTCAATATTAGTTTATCTTTAATATTATCATATTTAAATTATTTTCATTAGTTGTAGAAATATTTTTAAATAATAACACATTTAATAAAGGTTTAAACATAAAATTATCCATGGGAAATATTAACAAATATTATTATCATCTATTTCTTTGTTGTATTAGTAATATTTATTTCAAATTTCGTCGTATATCATAAAAATATTTAAGCATCGAAACTGTGTAAGTATGAATAAACAAACGTGCAATTTGTACGTGTATACCGACAGTCTTAATGTTCTACAGAAATAGACAATGAGACAATCCCTCGCACTGATAGTAAGAGCTTGATTAGTTCTGATTCATTGAGGAACGAGATATTGTTTTATGCACTTTAACGAACTTCCTGTTTACCGTGAATGTGTCATTACTATAACGTTTCTATCGCCATACGTGTATCTATACTACGCATTACAAGGTGTTTTAAATACTTGAAGTATAACGTGAAATTATATTTGGTTCAGAATTCACATGTCAAGAATTGTTAGTGCATTATGGTTATGGTGGTGGGATACAGATCAGTCATAGTATATTAAAAATACAATATATGAGACATATAATAATATATTTCTGTGTTTCGTGACATTTCAATTACCTAATAAATCATAATCAAATACACAAATTTTATTCAACTTCCCTGACACAAATTAAAATGTAGTCTCATGAATATAATTATAGAAATAAACTAACAGACTGACACGTAAAAATACATATTTCATTTAAAGACTTCATGATAAATAAAATTACTACATACAAAAATGTAATATAAAATATTTAACTATAGAAATAAAAATATCTTTGCTCATATGTATCCAGGTGTTAAAATGTTATATGTTTTTTTTCAGTTGTTATTAGCTAGTATATTGTTGCTGTGTGTGTTGGTATGTTCCTCGTCGATTGATCCAAAACGTATTCTCATCAACCGACCTCGAGAACACGATGTCTTCAAAAGATCAGCTCAAGTTAAAGGAGGCAAACCCGGGGTCAAAGGTAATATAAATTTAAATACAAATAATATATGTTATCATATGTTATATACCTCTGTATTTAATAAATTGTCTATGTAATTGTATATTCTAGGAATTAATTGTTAAAATAACCGGTATTATTTAATTGACTAGTAAATAATAACTCAAATATAACAATATCCTTATTATAAGTCTACATCGTCACACTACATACGTGACGTTTCTCTTTTGTTTTGTGTGTAGTGATGATGGTAAACTTGTATTAGTCATTCTGTAATAGTAACTTTAGGAACTCACTAACATCTTTTATTAAAGATTATATTTTAATGTCTCTAATATGAAACACATGAAAAGATGATTTTTATATACGGACCTCAAAAAACTTGGTACCTATAAACTAAATAAAAAATACCGCGAATTATTGTTTACCTAAATGGTTGATAGATGACTCTGTACTCAATATATTTGTAATATGAAGTAGCGGGGTAGAGATAAAGTATCAAATGATATTTATCTTAAAACAAGAAACTCAATAATTTTAATAATAAACCCCAGCTTCAAATATTTGTTAACAATATTCTTTAATAACTTTTAATATCACTAGGTTTTTCCCGGTCGTAATTTCCATATTTAATAATAGCTTTAACGTTTTATTTCGTGTCATTAATTCTGTATTCTAAAATTCTAACTATTATTTAATATATTTATTGCCTATAAATATTACGAAAAATGACTTAATATAGTTTATTTGTAATAATAACTCAACTTTTTATGTATGTTTTTCAGGTTACGACCCTCCAATGCCGTCTCTCAGGAAAGGCGAGTTCATGTGTGGGAATCGAGTGTGCAAGTTGAAACCGGGTCAAATACCGCCCGGGTGTAATGGTGTTTGTCAATATCGAGTTAATTAAAAACATTACACTCCGCTCTTCAAATATAGATGTCGCTATTATTAATAATTTTTAGTATATAATTTCATCACGAGATGGCGCTGTTGTAAATGAAACAAAGTTTATAATTATAAAGTTTATTCAGGTTTCTTTTCCCTGCTCTGTTCCCACTTCTTCTGTGAAGTCTTGAATGTACTGATATCAAATTTAGTGGCTATCAGTCGTCCGTAGCTGGTTGTATTTAATAAATTGCTTTTGTCCGACATTTCCTTCATTATTTTAACTTTCTGCTCCATGGAAGCTGCTTCGAAGATCTGTTCGAAGGCTCGTGAACCATACTGAGATATAGCCATGTTTTGATAGTAGCCCTGCAGATATAATAATAACAATAAAAATCTATAGTATTATATGATAATAAAATATATGAATCAGTATCATTGTATGTGTGTAATGTATGTAGAACTAAGTAGTCTATCAATTTCATAATATAATAATACTTCTTATAAAATGCTTATTAAAGTGAAGGATGTGGTAGAAAACTAAGTTAATATTCTATTGTAGTTACACATTTCACAAATATTTCCTTATCTATACATAATACATAAAATTGGACTGTCTGTTTGTTATATTGAAATAACAAAAATAAACATATGTATATAGGGAGCGCATACACCACAAAAACAGTTTTTAGCGATTTTGTTTTTTTTTTGGGACCGATTTTGTTGGGACTTGTATTGCCAGGTGATGTAGTGACAAGCGAAGAGAGTGCAGAGCACAAGTTTTTTAAATGTTTTTGTTCCTTTTTTGACTGAGATGAAGACAGACAAAATCAAGTGTAAAATTAGTTTATATTAAAAAAGATTCTGAATTTTGATAGTTTGTATAGAATTATTTAAATTAATTTATAAATAACAATTACCTTCAACTTCCACACCATTTTGTCCCTGGCTTTAACTCCGACCAGGTTCTGTGTAGTGAAGGCATCAGCTATATGGCAGCCCTTGGGATCACACAAGATGTAAACCAATTCCTCCGAAGACAACTCCAATATACTAGACACTAGCTTAGCGGGCCGCTGGAAATAATATTGTAATAATGAGAATTAAGATTTTCACAAGTCTTATTAATTTAATGAAACTAATATTTTTCATATACAGGGTGACTGATGAATTACTATCAATATTTGAGGACGTGATATTTGACGATCATATATGACAAAATAAAAATTAATATAACATAAATATTAATAAACTTCTAAGTAAAGTTAACCAAAAGTTATGTAATTAATTACGCATAGTGTGAACACCCTACAGATTAGGTATACACACACACACACACAGACGCGGCGGCGGCGTAGTGTTGTATCAGCACGCCGCCGCACGCGTCCACACTTGGAACACTTGGAACGTATCCACACTTTATTTATTTATACGGAAATTTGGTCAAAAATTAAGTACCTATTTTTTTTACATAATTCGAATGAGAATCATGTACCGAGTATTCTCCTTAAATATTGATAGTAATTCACCAGTCACCCTGTATACTACGGAATTTTATTTTGATAAAAACTACATAATCCCGTCGATTCGGCTTCTTCACAGCAACTGAGATCACGAAAACGAGACATCAAAAATAAAATCGCGTAATACATCAAAAAAATATTAATTTTATTTAAGTTAATGTTATAATATTAGCAGAGAAATAAGTCTAAGACATATATAAGAATTAATATTGATATAAAAAAATCTGTTTAAACTGTATATATGTATTTCATTACTAAGAAGATGAAATAACATCTATTTTAAATTTAATAGACAGTTTGTCTGTTTGTGACAAAAAGCTTTCTCAAACCATTTATAAATTATCTCATATATTAGAAACATCTCAACTAACAATATGTATATCAAAATTGATTATCAAATTTAACCTGTATGTAATTTTTTCAATAAAAATATATGTATAAGCCATCGAAAATATGGAGATTTGTTCCACTGAATCCTCTTAATATATACTATAATTTTCATTTTCATAAGGATGGCCCTATGGCCTATATTATTGTCCCATCAAATTGATAAGTTACTTTGAGTGTTTTACCTGGAATCCAAGCATGGTTTGAACAATCACTGATCCATGTACATGTATGAAGTAGTTGGTAGTGTCCATAGTTTTGTCGCTGAGAGGAGCCAGTCGGAGACATTGGATTATGAAACGCTTCGGTTCAGCATCAGAACAGTTGAGAACCGTTTCCAACATCTGGTGGATGAATAAAATGATATAAAATTATTAGGTACAGTTCATTATTAATGTATGTGATTCATTTAGACTGTGACTAACTGTGGCCTTTAAAATCATAAGAATTCATTGAAATATTTGTTCTATGTAGATTATAGATACATTTTTTTAATATGAGTAGAGAGAATTATGATCCTTTTTAATGATAAATCATAGATATAATTAATATTCTATACAAGTCTATACTGAGAGGATAATAAAGTCCTGTTAATATATCAAAGTGGATTAAGTAGTGTGTAAAAACTAGGTTATTTTATTAACTTACATTCATCATCTGCATCTGTTTAGCTTTGACCCGAAGACATCCCTTAGCTAGAGCTACCAACACACCAGTATTGCCACATGATAGTATGGAATTAAACTGACTCGACAGCTCATCAAACATTGGTTCAAACTGAAATATTATATAAAGCTTTATATATGTTCATCAATAATTTTGAATGGAGATGAACTATATTTTGTATATTTAATAGTGAAATATACTCATCTAAAATATTATTATCATATATCGTCATGGATAGTGCAAATCCGCGTAGCTACCATTAGATAATTCCGCGTATTTACATTGAAAGCAAATTATCAGAAGAAAGCTTAAGCTGAAATATTTTCTATATTAACGATTATTAAAGTAATATCTTTCACAATTAGTAATTATTTAGTGTTGAATTCATTAGTAGTTGTAAAAAAAATACTACAACTTAAACTTTCTTCTAATAAACTGCTTCCAATATAGATATGCGGATTTATCCAATGGTAGTTACACAAATTTGCACTATCCTGACGATTTGTCTTTGATTCTATGCCTTATATATTTCTATATATTAATATTATTCTGAACATACTTCCTCTTTGATCTGACAGTTATCTATGAGTCTCTGTACAGTGAAATTCAACATGGACATGGTGCATAGTTGGGCGAGACGATTTATGAAGCAGCGGGCGTAGATCTGTGTGTATGACTTCTTAGATGATACAAATAACGCTGCTTCTAATAACCTGAAATAGAAATTTAACTTGTCAATAACTTGATGACTATTTGTACAAAAAAATTCTTATTTATTATTCAGTATAAAAAATTAAATCTTTGATTCATAATACTAATTAAGTCACAATTAAATAATAGGCTGATTATTTTGATGGTTTTTCTATATATGAAATGTCACTGGCAATACAAACTGCAAAAATTAATAATATATATATGGCATAGTTACGACAACCATTTAACAGTTGCATAGCAAGGAGTGCTTGTCTACATATAAAAGTTAACAAATCATGAACAAAAATTAGTTATTGCATGAATCTTTGTCATAATAAGAAGTTATAGGTGAACTCACCTAACTGATGATTCTGTTTTGAAAACTGGAGGCAAGGGACAGTCTGACGATGAAGATGTAGCTTCTTTATCACCAGTCTTTTGATCCTTCTCATCTTTTTTCTCATCATCTCCTGTCGGAACCCAATCTTCTGGTGCAAAGCTTTCATTGAGCAATTTGTTGACTAAATTCTTACATATTTTCCCATCAACATTCTTAACAGCATATAACAATACTTGTAACAACGCCGATGTTATGTTTTGGTTCGGTAGATCTTTGAATTGCGGCCACGAAGACAGTCTGTTGGCAAATTCTTTAACAATCTCTTTATATTCATCGGGAACTTCTTTGTACTTCAACTCGGTGAGGTGCGGAGGTATTCCTTTATTATCTTTTACCGTTTCCCTGAACATATTGACTTTAGGTTTCTCTCCTGGTAGTAATGTTATGCCGCTGAGACATTTGATAGCACTGCGTAGAATATGATTGGCATATTTATCCCAGACGAAATCTTCCAAATTATTTAGTGCATATTTACATATCTTCAATGTGAATTCGTTACATTTTTTTATATGTTCATCTTTGTACTTGGGTTCTACTTTTTTCTTTTTTTTGGGAACTTTTTCATCGTCACTTATTTGTAAGTGCTCGGTAGCTCTTTCGCAGGCTACTCTAAGTAATGTTTCTATTACATGACTTGAAATATTGTCTGAACATAATGGTCGTAGTTCCGCTGATAATACTTCGATATAACGTTCCAAGTCTTCAGCTGAAGAATAAGGCAGGAGGATCTCCACCATACGACATCCTAGCTGGTTACCAACTACATTTAACTCTTCCCCTTTAGTTCTCTCCAAAACATTGTTGACAAGGGCTTCTAAAATGCAAACATACGATTAAATGTTAATTTACACTGAAAATTACGTATAAAATTTTAATGAATTTATTAACAATATTTACCTCTTTCCTCCGGATTCTCGACCCCTTGTTTGATGACATCCAAAATACCAACGAAATATTGATAAAGTTCTTCCGGGATCTTAGTCCCTCGACCCATTTGTCCTTTCTTAGCGTATTTCTTGGCGTTGGACAAGAAATTCTTTCGTTTCCTCCTCTGCCTCTTTTTAAGAGGATTATTATCAACAGATTCTTCCCCCATTGTTGTGTTTTTATGTTCTGTAAATAATATTAAATGTTTATAACACGTGTATTCAGCACCGGCCTCAGTTTTATTAAAACCACAATGATTAAGGTTATGTTTGGTATCAACTGTCGTCCGTCACTGTCAATTGTCAAAATAATTGGCTTTACAAGTAATTAAACGTTTTCAAACTTAATTTTTATTTGTATTTTCCGATATTTTGTTGTAAATAAATAAAAAATGAAAATGGCTTTTTATTTTAATATATTCCAAGATTAAGTTAGATACTGCATTACTTATAATCTATCCTTTATTTTGTTAATTTATAAAGCACGTGAGCTACAATAATTATTTCTAAATTTATTTTTATACTTAACTTATTGAGAAGAACCCACACTAATGTATGAGTTATGAAAAATAATTATGTTAATACTTATGGAACAATGCAAATATTCTAATTCTGTTATATGAATCAACGGTCTAATTTAGTAATGCTTGCATTATTTCCATTGTTTCTTTCATCCAAATAAAGATTTCCACGGATATTTATAAGAATTCCATCTAAAGTAGAAATAGTCTGAGTAATTCATTGTTTGTTTATAATTTAATAGCGAGTGACAAGGGACTATCATTTGTATCTCTCTGATTATTGGAGCAGAACAGCCAACAATCTGTAGGGTCCGTACTACCTATATGTATCTAAATAAGATTGCTTGAACGACGTATCTATACGATTCTCGTAATCAAGAGCTCTTAGTCAACATTTTTATCAAATAAACAACGTCTTGATCTCAAGTTTTCTTATCGGGACCTAATTAGTTTATCTAAAATTTTACTCATTTTTGTATATTTTAAAAGAAAGCATCTCCATATTTTGTTTTTTAACGTAGTACCCAGGGTTTACATATGTTAGTATTTATGCTTTAAGCTGTATTATATGTATAGCTGTGATATACTTATTTACTTAGTGTTATTAAAAGATCTATTATAAAATTTATGTAAAAGAATAAAGAAAAATATTATATAGAAAGAGTTTAGGTACTCATCGCTGTCAAGTTTTTTACGAACTTAGCGACATCATAAATCTGTCAAGTGCTAAAGGTTGAAATATTACAGGTACACGCCAGATTTGAAATATTTGCTAATGGACTCTAGTCTCAAAGTCGGTCAATTACCAAACTTTAGGTTTTTTCACACTTATAGAATATGTATTATTAAAATGTGTACTTGCTTTTTGAGTAGATAAATATATTTCAAAATTAAAAATGTCATATAATGATACTTGTACGACATTTAATTTTAACCTATATTTTATTTAGAGTAAGATAAAATATAATATGTGTTGGAAGGTTATAACACAGATGCATTATCCTGTATTTTATTTAAAAATTAAAAAAAACTTAAATGTCAAAAAAAGGTACTGAAATTTTATTTAATTCTTTCTTACTAAGAGCATGTACAGAACGATAAACGTATATTCCCTAACTAAGGAAGCTACAGTCCTCTCCAGTTCCTAGTATTAAACATTAACAACGAAGAGTGAATTCATAATTGACAACACTATTGTACATGAATTCAATGAATCTTGAAGACATTTTAATTCAAATTGTATTAAAATCTGAGAGGGAAGATATTGCTATCTCTGTCGCACATTTCACAACAACAAAGTGTTGTTCCCGAACCCGAAGTGTAAGAAAACAAGTTTCAACTTTCAATAGTTTGAATCCAGATTCCGAGAAAGCGCGTCGTGTGCCGGCCGACCTTGATAAGTTACGTTAGATTTAAAACAGTGCATTGTTAAAACGAGACTGAATAATAATTTGGTGATGTTTATTATTTAAAATGTGTCATTAAATGTAACTTTTTGGAAGTTTTTAATAATATACAGGTGAGTTTAATTTTGTTTTACAATTAAAGAAAACGCGCGACATAAGAGGTCGTCAACCGCTTCTCGCGTTGATGATTATTGGTATTATTTCTTGAATAACTTAGTATAACTTATTAGAGTCTAACTTAGTATACTAATATGTATCTAAGCTTACAATTATATGAAATATATGTATATATAAACACTATATAACATTTACGTAACTTATAAGTTAAAATAAATAATGTGTAATACAAAGGAAGTGCTGATATTCTGCCTGCATTCCATAGCCGGTGGGTTTTTATTTTTATTTATATAAAACCTCTTTGCATTCCAGCATATGACGTCACTGGCTCTTGGCCCTAACACTACCTAAATTGACCCATTTATAAATTGAAAACACACGTTGTATATTTCGATGTCATAGGAATTAAAAGTGAAAAACGGGAAAGGGGTTTGTTGTATGAAAAATAATATTATTATACTTAAAATAACAATTTAAAGAGAAAAAATATTTTATTAAATGGTTTATAAACGCCATCGTCTTAATTTAAATCTTGTGATGTCTTTTACGAAAAATTTGAAGCAGTTGTTTGAGATTTTGATGATTCAATCATTTTTTACTTCAAAAACACTTTTTATTACCTTATTTGTAAGATCTAACAAAGCGATTGAAGTAGTAAGCTTTCATTAATTAATTTTTCCTTAAGAATCTTTTATATATATTTTTTGTAACTTACGTAATTCTTCTTCCTGGATCAATATCAAAATATACGTCATTTACGACAATGAAAACAACTTCTACTGTTTTTATCATATTTTTACCACGTCATTTCTCATTGGTGCTTTGAAAATATTCAATCTTCTTCTACCTGGCAATTTCCCAGCTTTTGCCAGGGTTTGCCTTACATGTTGTGAATAGTTTTGACTAATTGTTTTACGACCGGCCGCCTGCCTGACATCATCAATTTTTATGAATAAAAAAATATTCAATTTTTTCTATAAATAACATGATAAAGTTTTATAATATTTATTAGTGCAGGACGTAATTTTAGTTTAGTTAAATTAATTTTTAATGCTTGTGTACAATATTATTCCGTATATTTAGCACATCCAAAGTTAGATTAGATCCAGTAGATGTTATCTGAACTAACTTCTTGATTAGCTGATCTAAGGTCACTCGTGTCAAGTGGATGAAGCTGATGCATTAGATTAGGAACTGCTTAAAAATTTTAACGCTTCAAAACTACTGTTATGTTTTATTTACTTTTTTGTTGTTTTCACATGGTAACTATCGTATTACGTAAAATATAATTGTATTAATTGATTCATTAGTATTATCATAATATAACTGGCTGTGATGAAATATGGCAAATTTATTTTTTTCTGTAGACTATCATTTAAACCAAATTTAGTACACTACTAAATCTAGCTTATAGCTTAGTCAGACTAAAGAAGATAGCTTTATTTTTAGGTACAGATTGTATTGGAGCTCTTGTTTTTAATTTATATACATACTTACAAGCGTGTGCGTGTGTGTGTGTGTGTATATTACAAACAGTCATACAATATTCCTATATCTTCCACCACCTAAGCCATGCTACCAAATGTCACGTATTTATGGCTTCCATAGGAAACCCTACAACCTCATGGCGTACAGAAATGTTTTTAATCTTACACTCCAGTTATTTAATACTTATTTTGCCCAAAAATATAATTTTATTATTTTAGTTGTAAATTCTGCAATGCGTCTCTAAAATAGAACATTTCCACAGCAGTATGGACTTGAGTGGTGAGCTCTGGATTCTTGGCACTCGGCTGGTTGGGTCGTAAAACATATTTACCTGATCTTTAATGGTCTGATGACAAGACTTTGTTACTTTGTAGTCGTAAGTGTTATACTAAACTGTTATTAAAACTACTACTGAACAATACATTATTTTTATTGATCGCTAATATTGAAAATTTAAATAAAAATATCTACAGTAAAAAAATTAAACGTCCTTTCCTTGGTTTTTTTATTCATCAGTCTATCAGAGCCCACTGCTGATAAAGGCTTCTTTTCACATGGAGAAGGTTTAAGCATTAATCAACACGCTTGCTTAAGACGAGTTGGTGATTTCAAACTTATAATTTGAAATTATAAGTCCAGGTTTCCTCACGATGTTTTCCTTCACCGTCGGTCAGTGGTGTCAAAATACTCTTATAAAGTACATATGGCTCGGTAAAATCACATTGGTACTGGCTAGGATCGAACCCGCGTCCTTATGCATGAGAGGCGGGCCCTTTAACCACTAGGCCACCACTGACTTTCTTTGGTTATATTTACGTTATCGAAATTATACGTATTGATGAGATGTATAAAAATATATAATATTATAAATATAGTATAGACGATATATTTAAATTTTTATCGATTTTTTCAATAATAATTTAATAGCATTTTTGAATATCAAAGTCTTCGATAAAATACAGCTGTGTGGCGCGTGGCCAAGTGTATGAAGTGAGTTAAACAGTTTACGATGGCGATCTTAAACAACAATATGTTTACGCTTACTAAATGTTTGTACGTACTATGTAGTTACTACACACGAAACGTTTAACGTTTAAGTTTTATGAATGACTAGCTTTTGCCGCGACTTCGTCCGCGTGGAATAGTGACTTCCGGCAGATTTTTGGTTCTTCCCACATAGTTCCCGTTCTTGTGGGGTTTTCGGAATGGTCGAGTTCCCGCAGAATTTTCAGAATAAAACCTATGTTTTTTTTTTCACAATGAAGTACTCTTAACCAACAACATATTTATTTGTTTATTTGAATAAAGATCAATATTATTATGTTGATACAACTTAAACAAATTATTTTGACCAAATTAGGTACCATAAAAACGGTTTCCACGGCGCACGCAACGGAAGGCTTCAAAGATGAAATAATTTCTCCCGTTTTTTACACATTTACCACTATATCTTTGCTCCTATTGGTCGTGGCGTGATGTCATATAGCCCACAGCCTTCCTCGATAACTGGACTATCCAAAAAACGAATTATTCAATTCGAAGCAGTAGTTTCGGAGATTAGCGCTTTCAAACACACAAACAAACTCTTCAGCTTTATAATATTAGTATAGATAAACTGAATCTCCGGTATTGAAAGATGGTGTTTGTAATTCTGGGAAAATTAAATACTTGTAAATGAAAATAAATATCAAAAATAGGACAATTTTATTGAATAGATTAATTATTGTTTTTATTCAAATATATATTGTAAAAAAATATAATTACGAGCATTGGAATATTTCTCAAGCCGAGCGGGATGCTGTGCTTGAAATACCATCCAGTTAAGTTTAACTTTCCGGTTCAACTTTAACTCACTCTCGTAATAAACAACTATTATGAACTATGAGTAATGTAAATTGTAATGAAAATTTAAACAGTTACTACTAACAATAAATCTCGTAAAACTTTTAAGATCAATATAGCACTTTGTTTTTCTCATTCTTTAGAACATATTTTTAGATTTCATAATAGAATTCTTTCACGGGAATTGCATTACGACCCAATTACTGTTTAACCGCGAGGATCTGGTTACTGTTTACCACAGACGGACCATTTTGTTGTATTTATTATGATAATTTAATATAATGATTCTTATATGTCAGTTAATTTCAAAATGTTTGTAAAAATACGTTCATAAATTTTGTTCCTAATACGTCACTTACTTTTTTCTTAATAAAATATATGTGATAAAAATTACTCAGAAACTGTTAAGTATAACAAAAATATATCAATACTGTTTTCGAATCCCTACTAATATTATAAATGCAAAAGTAACTCTGTCTGTCTGTCTGTCTGTTACGCTTTCACGCCTGAACCACAGAACTGATTTTAATGAAATTTGGTTCAGAGATGTAGTTGACCTTGAGAAAGAACATAGGATAGTTTTTATCCAAGACTTTTGAAGGTTCTCTTGGAAACGCGATATAACCAATCATAGGCCGGAAAGCTAGTATAATATATTATAAAGATATTAAATTAAATATGAGACTTATTAAGGAATTTCAGTATAACAAAAAAATGATCAATACTAGTTCTCGAATTATGATTTTATGAGAAAAATATGTAGAAAGATTTGAAACGAATTTTATCACCAAATAAAAACATCGTTTCAAAATTAGACAACAATTTAAGAATAATTTAATGTCTTTATGAACTTTATATATTCTTTATATTAAAAGTAATTGAAAATTGAACATATCATGTGGAACACTTAATATCTTTATAGTTTTCCCTCTAATTAAAGATTATTAATTATTAACTTCAACCAAAATCTAACCGCAGCCAGATGTAAGAGCTAGTATGTTATTGTGAACAAGTAGAACATGTCTGTCCAAGCATCGCTAGAATAATAACAGAATGTGACTTCAAAATATTTATTAAAATAATTTACTTATATGTGATTTTTTTTTCATTACTATTGCTATATATAAAAAACGTTAAGAACTTAAAATTTACAAGATTTTTTAACGGTTTCAATTAATGTTATATTGATAGAAAATATATTTAAGAATTTTGTTTCCTTTACTATTTTTTCTGGGTGAATGCGTCAGAATAGTAATCAATGATAGGAACTTTTAACTTCCTTTATATATATTTTATTCATTAGTTTTTGTGAGCAACTCACGCTTCACTGCTTCCTACACAGTACAATGGCACCGAGACGCTTACTTAAGAAACATATATATACTGATTACGTTGAAAAATAAACAATCTGGTAAATTTGTCTTAATAATAATTCTGATTTACGTGAAACTTATTCAAGAATTACCAAAAAAAAATTGATAATAGAAGGTATTTTTAAGTATAATAACACTATGGAGGCGAAACCTCTCATCATTCAATGTATTCATCGTGCGTGTGTCGGGTCCATCGTTGTAGTGAGAGGAGCTTCAACAGTGACTGGGACTTGTGACCCAGGTGTAGGTTTAATATATATAGAGAGACGAAACCTCTCATCATTCAATGTATTCACGGTGCGTGTGTCGGGTCCATCGTTGTAGTGAGAGGAGCTTCAACAGTGACTGGGACTTGTGACCCAGGTGTAGGTTTAATATATATAGAGAGACGAAACCTCTCATCATTCAATGTATTCACGGTGCGTGTGTCGGGTCCATCGTTGTAGTGAGAGGAGCTTCAACAGTGACTGGGACTTGTGACCAGGTGTAGGTTTAATATATATAGAGAGACGAAACCTCTCATCATTCAATGTATTCACGGTGCGTGTGTCGGGTCCATCGTTGTAGTGAGAGGAGCTTCAACAGTGACTGGGACTTGTGACCCAGGTGTAGGTTTAATATATATAGAGAGACGAAACCTCTCATCATTCAATGTATTCACGGTGCGTGTGTCGGGTCCATCGTTGTAGTGAGAGGAGCTTCAACAGTGACTGGGACTTGTGACCCAGGTGTAGGTTTAATATATATAGAGAGACGAAACCTCTCATCATTCAATGTATTCACGGTGCGTGTGTCGGGTCCATCGTTGTAGTGAGAGGAGCTTCAACAGTGACTGGGACTTGTGACCAGGTGTAGGTTTAATATATATAGAGAGACGAAACCTCTCATCATTCAATGTATTCACGGTGCGTGTGTCGGGTCCATCGTTGTAGTGAGAGGAGCTTCAACAGTGACTGGGACTTGTGACCCAGGTGTAGGTTTAATATATATAGAGAGACGAAACCTCTCATCATTCAATGTATTCACGGTGCGTGTGTCGGGTCCATCGTTGTAGTGAGAGGAGCTTCAACAGTGACTGGGACTTGTGACCCAGGTGTAGGTTTAATATATATAGAGAGACGAAACCTCTCATCATTCCATGTATTCACGGTGCGTGTGTCGGGTCCATCGTTGTAGTGAGAGGAGCTTCAACAGTGACTGGGACTTGTGACCCAGGTGTAGGTTTAATATATATAGAGAGACGAAACCTCTCATCATTCAATGTATTCACGGTGCGTGTGTCGGGTCCATCGTTGTAGTGAGAGGAGCTTCAACAGTGACTGGGACTTGTGACCCAGGTGTAGGTTTAATATATATAGAGAGACGAAACCTCTCATCATTCAATGTATTCACGGTGCGTGTGTCGGGTCCATCGTTGTAGTGAGAGGAGCTTCAACAGTGACTGGGACTTGTGACCCAGGTGTAGGTTTAATATATATAGAGAGACGAAACCTCTCATCATTCCATGTATTCACGGTGCGTGTGTCGGGTCCATCGTTGTAGTGAGAGGAGCTTCAACAGTGACTGGGACTTGTGACCCAGGTGTAGGTTTAATATATATAGAGAGACGAAACCTCTCATCATTCAATGTATTCACGGTGCGTGTGTCGGGTCCATCGTTGTAGTGAGAGGAGCTTCAACAGTGACTGGGACTTGTGACCCAGGTGTAGGTTTAATATATATAGAGAGACGAAACCTCTCATCATTCAATGTATTCACGGTGCGTGTGTCGGGTCCATCGTTGTAGTGAGAGGAGCTTCAACAGTGACTGGGACTTGTGACCCAGGTGTAGGTTTAATATATATAGAGAGACGAAACCTCTCATCATTCAATGTATTCACGGTGCGTGTGTCGGGTCCATCGTTGTAGTGAGAGGAGCTTCAACAGTGACTGGGACTTGTGACCCAGGTGTAGGTTTAAGGGACCCTATCTAACGCGTTAACGCTCACCTCCACCGTCCAAGCTCTCTCTACATAACCAAATTAGAAAACTGTTTTATTTATAAATTTATTTTCTATATCCAGTTCATCCTCACAATGCGTGAGAGTCTTCGTCGTCTTGCATCAGAAGATATTCCTCCGAGGGGCAGGGTCCGGGTGGAACTGCTGACGGGAGAACATATTACTATTGACCTGGATGTAAGATTAAATACAAGTAAAACACATTTAACACACACACACACAAGTACAAATGACACATTCTATTCATTCTTTGATACCCTATACCTTTCTCCTTCGTAGTTGAAGATCCTATTTTTAAGGTAAATGAAAATAATATTTTCGCATTACTATGCATTATTTTAAACTAAATACTCATGGCGTTTCGGTTACTTTGCAGTAACCATGATCATTAAGATATGTGAGTATATACATATGTAGTTTTAAAAATAATATAATAAAGAGTAGTAATCTGAAAGTATTAGTTTCAATAAAATGAATACTCGAAATATCTTTGATCTCTCTATTTTAAGGTCTTTTTAGAAAATTCAAAACCATGTTTTCTTTTGCACTTAAAATAAATATTGTATAAAATATAAAATATATTTTCTATATCTAGTCGCTACGTCAATAAATCTTCTTTTTAGTTTTCGATTACATGGAAAAAAACTTTCTCACTCTTGTTTATAATCACGATTTGTTTAAATATAAAAAATCCATGGATTATTCAGAGGAAAGCCCTCGGAGGAGATCTTTTGGACCTGGTCTGCGAATCTTTGGATGTGATTGAGAAAGACTACTTCGGTCTGCTTCACGCACAAGGCGAGCCCAGAGTGTGGGTACATCTTGGAAGACGACTCAGCAAGACATTCAAAAGTTGGTCTAACATATATTTCTTTTAAACGAAAATTAAATTTTACGATTATAACGCGTATTTTATTATTTTAAACTGCATACTCCAAACGTTTCAATTACTTTGCAGCAATTATCACGGACAGACGAAATATGATCATTCATTTAGTTTTAGTTTTCATTTCAGTGAATACTCGTGAAAATTTTAGATCATCATTTATTTCTTACCAATTATAATGATTTTTTTAAAATTAGCCTTAGACAAATGTTTTGGACATCACAAAATTATGTGTTAAAAACAGATTACGATTAAACATCTTTCTTGGTATTTATGCAACTGGAGCGCTAATAAATTTAAGATCATGAAGATTACCTTTGCAAAACTGTGAGGTATACTGCAATAAAATTAAGGATACTACATACTTTGAATAGATTTTTAACTATCCTAAATTCACTAAATTCACGAGAAAATTCTTGCAACCCTAGTCCTACTAGTAATTCTACAATTTTATCTATACTATAGGCTTCATATTTCAGATGAGCCGTGGGATGTTCGGTTTGCTGTGAAGTTCTATCCTTTGGAGCCATCATCTCTCAAAGATGACATGACGCGATACCAACTGACACTAGCGTTGAGACGAGACCTCATGGAAGGTATGGAACACATACAGGGTGACTGGTGAATTACTATCAATATTTAAGGAGAATACTCGGAACATGATTCTCATTCGAATTATGTAAAAAATCATAGATATGTACTTAATTTTTGACCAAATTTCCGTATAAATAAATAAAGTGTGGACACGTTCCAAGTGTTCCAAGTGTGGACGCGTGCGGCGGCGTGCTGATACACCACCACGCCTCCGCACGCGTTTGTGTGTGTGTGTGTATACCTAATCTGTAGGGTGTTCACACGATGCGTAATTAATTACATAACTTTTGGTTAACTTTACTTAGAAGTTTATTAATATTTATGTTATATTAATTTTTATTTTGTCGTATATGATCGTCAAATATCACGTCCTCAAGTATCGATAGTAATTCACCAGTCACCCTGTATATAAGGTCCAACTATCAGATAAAAAAGGCTTGGAGCAAAAGTACCAAAAAATATATTGAAATTTATTTAGGTCTAAAGGTTATAATTGTTGGAAAGTTAATTTTAGATGTTTTTTTTTTGCAAATAATCCACCTTTAAGTCCATCTTCAACAATTTTTCATAGAAATCTCTTTTAGCATGAATAGTCGAAATTTTTGTCAGAAAGACTGGTAGCTTTTTGATCACAAACATAAACACATTTCTACAAACCTTTAAATATATTCATATCTCCCTACTAGTATTGTAATTGCGAAAGTAACTCTGTCTGTCTGTTACACTTTCACGCCTAAACCACTGAACTGATTTTAATGAAATTTGGTACAGACATAGAGTTAACCTTGAGAAAGAACATAGGATAGTTTTTATTCCAGATTCTTGAAAGGTTCTCTTGGTAACGCGATATAACCGAACTCCACGCGGGCGTGTTCATTTTCGTTCCTCACCACGTGTTTATAGGACGTCTAACCTGTTCGACGATCACGTACGCACTGCTCGCGTCCTACGTCCTACAGGCGGAGGAGGGGGACAGGTCCGCGGGGGAGGGGGGAGGGGGGCGACTTGTGACGTCACACAGGGCCGTGCCTCTACACGTGTTGGACGAAGACATGGAGATGAGAGTCGATGAGTTATATAGGAAACACAAGTGAGTGGAATAGTTTTATTGGGAATGAAATATATTGAGAGTCTAATGGTAAAGTTACTAAAGATAGAACATATGCTGACTAGACTGGTCAAGTACCACCCTCTCACAGAAGATTTGCGTGAAGTAGTCTTTAGTGGCTTTTTTTATGTTTAATGAGTGAGAGAGACGATTGCGTCTTCTCTTTCCCACTTTTTTCTCTAACCAAGGTTGCCAATGCAACCGCAAATGTTTATAGGTAATGGTACTATCTTCATCAAGTAGACCGTCTCTCTTTAGCATAAAAAATTTAAGTGACCATTATAATTTGACCTATATATCATATCAGCTAAACCTAACTCATTATTACTTCCAGAGGTCAAACGCCAGCGGAGGCTGAACTGAACTATCTTGAGAACGCCAAGAAGCTGGCGTTGTATGGAGCTGAGATGCATTCAGTGAAGGATTGTGATGATGTGGAACTGTCACTAGCTGTTTGTGGGCGAGGAATAGCTGTGGTTAGAGATGGGTGAGGAAATATACTAAGATAATAATGTTCTTTTAATGAAAGGATGTTAGAGAAATTATAGAGGAATAGAGTATGAAAATATTCATTCATCCGCCTATCAGAGCCAAACTGTAAGGCCTCTTCTCACATGGAGAAGGTTTGCGCATTAATCACCATGCTTGCTCAAGACGGGTTGGTGATTTCAAACTTATAATTGTGAAACTATAAGTCCAGGTTTCCTCGCGATGATTTCCTTCGTCTGTCAGTGATGTCTAAATACTCTTAGAAAGTACATATGACTCCGAAAAAATCACATTGGTACTTGACAGGTTTCGAATTTATAGGAATTAATGAGCTTTTACAAATGATGTTTCAGGATATTATTCTCTCTTATATGATGTAAATACATACTCTTCGTTATTTTGAACCATATACATACATACATTTGAGTTACTTCATACACAATACTATCTAATTAGTGATACAAGTATGCCTTATAATTTTTTATTAAAAATCCAAATAGTATTTTATATAAAATAAAAGTCGACATCTTTTAAGACTTATAAAGATATCAGATTTTATTTATTCCTATAATAAATATAATAGTCTCTGGAGAAAAAATAATAATTGTTCCACGTTTAAGAATCAAAATTGGTGTCAAGTGTTGCTCTTCGTAAACCTTTGTTTTATTCTGTTCCATTGTGTCGAGCCTCTCATTATGAGTTTAAAAATATATTTTTAATTGTTCCTTAAGTCTTAACGTCTCATAATGATTTTATGAAACTGATTATTGTATTTATATAGTTAAAGAATAACTACTAGAATAGAATATGTTGTATTGTAAACCATTGAAAGTAAAATAAATACAGATTTAGATAACTAAGTAGCAAAATTAGACTTTATTGCAAGAGAAATAAGGTGTAAATATATATCAAGAATTTTAGGAATATCTTGTTAAAATGAAAGACATCTTAGAATGAAAACAGAACATTTTAAGACAGTATTTGATCAATGAGAGTTGTAGCTTTTTATGAACTCTAACTAAATGTTATATAACCAATACTTTTATATTCCTTTTAGAATTTACATTTCATTAACGTACTTCAAATACAGCCCTAGTAAGTTCTTTTCAAATTAGGTAGAGAGAGGAGCTTGGACAGTGGAGGTGAGTGTTTGACGCGTTAGATAGGGGCCCCTTAAACCTACACCTGGGTCACAAGTCCCAGTCACTGTTGAAGCTCCTCTCACTACAACGATGGACCCGACACACGCACCGTGAATACATTGAATGATGAGAGGTTTCGTCTCTCTATATATATTAAACCTACACCTGGGTCACAAGTCCCAGTCACTGTTGAAGCTCCTCTCACTACAACGATGGACCCGGCACACGCACCGTGAATACATTGAATGATGAGAGGTTTCGTTTCGTCTCATAAGAATTACATATTAAAACTTATAACCTACACCTAAGACTACATGATTGTCCCGATGTTAGGATAGCAATACCATTCCATAGCTTGTGTGTATCAGGAATCTTCTGGTTCACACGGCTTGGTGTTCGTTCCGCGAAATCAAAGCGTCACTCATTATATGTTTTATCCATACAACGATGTTTATTTATTTCTTAATATGTATCGTATCTAATGAGTTTTTTTATTGGTAGGACGATCATGAACCGCTTCCCCTGGCCCAAGATATTGAAGTTAAGTTACAACAAGCGCGTGTTCATGATCCGTCTCCGGGCCGCTGAGTCGGAGCAGTGTGAGTGTGAGGTCAGCTTCAGACTGGCGTGTTCCAAGGACAGTGAGAGGCTGTGGACCAGCGCTGTGGAGCATCACGTGTTCTTCAGGTGAGAAGAGACTATCATTATTAACTATACTATATCTACATCTTGTCTTAATGATCACGGTTGCTGTAAAGTAGCCGAAACGTCGGGAGTATGTAGTTTTTTAAAAAAATAAAGTCGCATAGTATAATCTGGAAAGTATTTATTTCATTTAAATGAATAAAACTCGCGAAATTTTAGATCTCATTATATTTATACTGTTTTTATTTGCGTCTTCTTCAATGATCGAATAAAACTATTCATTTTGGGATTACTACGCGTACATATTTTATTATTTTAAACTATACAGGGTGACTGGTGAATTACTATCGATACTTGAGGACGTGATATTTGACGATCATATATGAAAAAATAAAAATTAATATAACATAAATATTAATAAACTTCTAAGTAAAGTTAACCAAAAGTTATGTAATTAATTACGCATCGTGTGAACACCCTACAGATTAGGTATACACACACACGCACACATACGCGTGCTTCGGCGTGGTGTTGTATCAGCACGCCACCGCACGCGTCCACACTTGGAACACTTGGAACGTGTCAACACTTTATGTATTTATAAGGAAATTATGTCAAAAATTAAGTGCCTATTTTTTTACATAATTCGAATGAGAATCATGTACCGAGTATGCTCCTTAAATATTGATAGTAATTCACCAGTCACCCTGTATACTATACTATTTATATTGTATACTATAATGTATACTGTAATCATTTTATATATTCACACATAATCCCAAACATTGGTATTTATAACATGAATATAATATACAGTTTATAATATTTTTGAAGGCAAACTTTTTCTATCACACACTCAAGTTTTTTGGACACTTATCTAACTTTACTTCTATAATAATATTATGTAACAATACGTTTTGTTATATATAAGTTGTAAGGACTACTTGACTTGTTTTTATAAGGAGCTGTGTCTCGTAAAATAACAATATATGAAAGAAAATTATACTACTTTTCAAGTCTTTTAGTGAGAAATATAAAATGGCTTTGTTTTCGAGGTACGGTTTCAGATTTGTTTTTCAGTGTTTATTATTACTAAATCTTACAAAATACTTAATTAGTACTACTAATATCTTACAAAATGGCTGAAGCTACTATTAATAGTTTTCAAATACAAGTTGATACTTAAATATTGCCATTACAAAATTACAATAGTTCAGTAATATTCAGTTATAGGCAAACCCTGGCTCAAGCTGGGAAATTGCTAGGAAGAAGAAGAAGATTCAGTTATAATTAAATATAATGAATGATAAAAATAATTCTAAGGATTATATTATAGTGTGGTATAAAAACTATCCTATGTTCTTTCTCAAGGTCAACGCCATCTCTGTACCAAATTTCATTAAAATCAGTTCAGTGGTTTAGGCGTGAAAGCGTAAAAGACAAACAGACAGAGTTACTTTCGCATTAATAATATTAGTAGGGATTAATTATAAGTAGTACATAGATGGCGCTACTTGTATCATTTATTTGATTTCTTTATGTGATTATTTTTATTTTCCAGACGTGAGAGTCCGGTTAAAGTGGAGCGTGTATCCGGGTTCCCGGTGCTCGGTTCCCGGCGACTGTCTTGTCGACGGACGCTGCGACAAATGCGCGACACAACTGTCGCACGACCGGTTATATGACGAAGAAATAACAGAACTAAAGTATAGAGAAACAAATTGAAATTTAATGATTTATTTACAATTATAATTATATTATTAGCGTACTTGTTAATTAAAAGATTTTTTAGTTGATGAATATTATAATTAGTTATTTGGTGTAATCTTAATTCTTAAATACAGCGGAGTGCCATGTTAGATAATAATTAAGTTTTATTTAATTTAAATTTTCAGACGATGATAATTTTTATTATAATTATATTGAATATGTTTTTTATGTTTGTAATTCAGCTTTAAACTATAGGACGATGAACCAGAATACTGTCATTAATACATTTTATACCTCACAGATAATATATTTATATGTAACAGTTGTTTTATTTTACCTACCTTAAAAAACATGAATAAAATCGGTAGATATATTGATACAACATAAAGAAAAGGGAGGATAGATGTAAAAAATGACGTAGTAGTCAAAATATAATATTACCGAAATCTTCATCTGCCTGACAATTTCCCAGCTTTAGCCAGGGTCTGCCTTACATGTTGTGAATAGTTTTGGCTAATTGTTTTTTTTTACGACCGGCCGCCTGCCTGCCATCAACCCTCTGGCAATGCATTAATTAGTGATGTCTAAATACTCTTATAAAGTACATATGACTGGGAAAAATCACATTGTACTTGCCAGGATCGAACCCGCGCCCTCGTGCATGAGAGGCGGGCCTTTTAACCACTAGGCCACCACTGACTTTAATATTACCGAAATATAGTGTAGAAATACTTTGAGAGAACGTAAAAAAGTAAAAAACGTAGTCTGAAATGAAGTAGTGACAGTGTTTGTGAAAGTATTCATAGTTAAATGAAAATGGAACTTGGATAAGCTGACTGTTGAAAACAGTGATTGTAACGGCAGCACTTCTAAAAAATCAAATATGACATGGTTCTTCGACATATATGTATAAGAAAAGTATCGGACTCAGAATAGGTAAGATCTATGATAGTCATCAAATTAACAAACATTCATGAAAAACGTAGATTGTGTGAAAACAGGCCTCGTCGTTTTGTAAGATAATAATGTTAAAATGAAAATGTAAAATTAGTGCTTACATAGTTCAAGATAATTACCGGAAACTTATAGAAGGGAAGTCGATTGTAGGAGAAAGTTGGGAAGGTATTTGGTTTTATATTAGAAATACGGGTTCATTTAGCTGAAAACCGGTTCTCTTACAGCAAGACCACGTTTAATCTATTACGAAAGTAGGAAAGTTAAGTGAAATATGATTAAAGAACTAGTATTTTTCGGATTTACTAATCGTTTATAATGATTACTTTTTACAACGTAAACCCTTTCCCAAAGAGGGTTGATGTCAGGCAGGCTGGCGGTCGTAAAGACTATTCACTACATATAAGGCAGAACCTGGCTAAAGCTGGGAAATTGCCAGGTAGAAGAAGACAGACCTACATCTCGTCTGTCTATGATCAAGGTTGCTGCAAAGTAACTGAACCGTGAGAAGTATGGAGTTAAAATAACCCGTAGTAAATCGGAAAAATTCTAATTTTATTTCAATGAATACTCGCGAAAGTCTTAAATCTCATTATGATAGAAGAAATATGTTATTGAAATCTTATCTCCGGAGTAGAATAGTCCAGATTAAATAGGTAATTCATATGAATAGTGAAATTATTTCGCGAAAAAAAGTCAATCTAAAGGAGATTTTGTAAATCTTAGAAGTAATTTCTTGCCACTAATTCCAAATAATGCTTTTACATACGAAGCTTAGAGCTCGCTAAAGGTTTCGTTAAAACATAAAATATTATGGACTAGAAGACCTCGCGAACTTCGTATCGCCCTTTAATCAAGAAATATCTGTTACGTTTTTTTATTTATATTTTTGGAGTTTACCTGTAAGCCATAAATCTCCGTGTTTTAAAGTGCAACAGAATGATTGACATATTAGTTAGTTGTCAAAACTAATGTCAAAAAAAACGTTTGTATGGGAAATAGAAAAGGGCCGTTTTTATGGTTTTCCCAGTAATGAATCAATTTTTTTCATCTTTTATACCTTCCCTGAACCTCACCGAATATTTCAAGACTAAGATAAGATAAATCCGTTCAGCTGTTCTCGAGTTTTAGCGAGACTAAGGAACAGCAATCCATTTTTATACAGGGTGACTGGTGAATTACTATCAATATTTAAGGAGCATACTCGGTACATGATTCTCATTCGAATTATGTAAAAAAAATGGGTACTTAATTTTTGACCAAATTTCCGTATAAATAAATAAAGTGTGTACACGTTCCAAGTGTTCCTAGTGTGGACGCGTCCGGCGGCGTGCTGATACAAAACCACGCCGCCGGACGCGTATGTGTGAGTGTGTAGTGTAGAGTAATCTGTAGGGTGTTCATACGATGCGTAATTAATTACACAACTTTTGGTTAACTTTACTTAGAAGTTTATTAATATTTATGTTATATTAATTTTTATTTTGTCATATATGATCGTCAAATATCACGTCCTCAAATATCGATAGTAATTCACCAGTCACCCTGTATATATAGAAGATTATACTTGAAATATTAAGGCTTTTTTACTGTATGATTATTTAATAGCCAAATTGTACATTAAAAATAAACTTTATCCCTACAGCAGATAGGTATATAGGTAGGACCCTTATCGTACCTAAATACAGAAAATCCCAGCTATAAAACTACTTATTTAGTACTACTTACTTACTTAGTACTACTTATTTAGTACTACTTACTTACTTACTTACTACTTCTCTTGACACGGCCTGTCTGTCAATTCTCTAATCATTGCCAAAGACATCATTAATGTAAATTAGGTCGTATTTGATGTTTTTTTAATAAAATAAACATAACCTTCATATAACCTATTGAGTAGACATCTCGTCAGCTTGTAAAATATTTGATTTTGAGTAAACATTTCCAAATGTTAATGCTTATTTATTAACTCTTAACGTCAAGTGAAGAATTTATTTTAAATAATATGACAAATTCATATCAAGTGGATTTTTACTAATTTAATAATAAATATATAATTTTTTATATACAATAGTGTTTATGAGAGATACTTTATAACTAAATCCTATTATAAAATCACTACGGCAATATAATAATATCGTATCCATAGATAAAAAAGACCATAATTAATTTCCCGCCACTATTTCACAGATAAACCATTTTACAAAAAATATGTATATATTTGTAAAGTTGATAATTTTAAAAATTATTAATGTAGAATCATTATTATCTTGAGACATGTTATAATTTACATTGCATTGTGTAATTAAAATAAATTTATATTAAAATGATGTTCACATAATGATATCTAACACTTTCACGAGTACTCATTGAAATAAAACTAATGTTTTCGTAAATTCCACTCGTTTTTTTTTTCATCTTAAACTACATACACTCGACGTTTCGGTTACTTTTCAGCAACCTCGATTACGGGCAGACGAGATAAAAATGCATTGGTACAAAGAATACACTTTTTTTCTTTACGTAACACTTATTATTACGTCATTGTTTTTGTTTAATATATTTAATATTAATAACACTTAAAATATTTAAAAAAAATTGTGCTCTATTTAATGCAATATAGTTTTGTAGATGATAAAGTCATAAATAATTCCATACTACACACGCTTCCCACGGAAGTAATCTTTACTGAAAATCATAAAGATTCTTTTAAGGATTCCAAATTATTAAACGACATTTTTCAGGAATATCTCGTGCTCTTCAATACAATGTCTCATTTATTTCTTCATAATTAACACCTTCACTAAAATCAGATAATGCCTACGTTAAAATCTGAAGATCAAAAGAAATTGTCTTTAAAGCTAAATCAGTGTACAGGCGTCATTTTGTTTATTAAATAATTTCTCGATAGTAATTCTTTTCACCCATACACATTGTTTTTAATATTCTAATTTGATTAAATTCTTACGTAGTGTAATGTACATTACTAGTCTTTTCCCTTTATCACCAAACTTCACTTAAAAAAAAAAACTTTCGAATTTGGAATCTGTCTTTTTTGTATTTAGTTTTAATCTTTTCGCGCCAATATTTATATATATTGGCGCGAAAAGATTAACACAAAATGAATAATCATACCAAAATGACAGATTCCAAATTCAAAAGTTTTTTTTTTTATTATAACATTATTATGCCAGGCTTCATTCATGTTCATACGACACATTTTTTTTTTTTTTTCACCTGAATTCCGACCTTGTTTATTATTACTTTAATAATATCTAAAACACTTGATAGTTTTATAAGCAACATGTTTTTCTCTTACGTTTTTTTTTGTTTTTCTATATATGTATAACAATAACAAGTTTTTATTTTTTATTCTGATATGTAGGTGTCGATCTTAGATAATATTATAATATAATTCTTATATATATTGAAGGACGCAAAGGAATACAACGCAAGTATGTTTTAACTGAATTTGTTTAATATATATAAATTGCCCGAAAACATTATGTTAATGAATAATAACATAATCATTTTTACTTTTCATTTTCTATGTATCTTTATTTAGCCTTATTTTTATTTATGGGAAATATTTTATTGTTCAATAGTCTTCATTTAAATCATCCGATTAATAAATCGTACACATTATTATAAAAATCTAATAGAAAGAAAAAACAATTTATTCTAAAACAATTATATTTTATGCAAAAATATCAATAATTATGAATATTTTTCAGTTTCAGTTCCTTCATTAAAAAAAGGTTTTAATGTAAATTTTCTTTTGTTAATCTCAGTCGTTAAATACTCATAATTCATTCATTAATTGTTAGTTACCATTAACACAATCTACATTATTTTATTTGTACAACATTAAACATGTTTCAATTAACAAATGTATAAAGAATGTTTTAAAGTTAAATCAAAACTTGCGTGGTAGGTTGTTATAACCTTTGCATATTTATATAGGAATCGAAGGCGTCACCATCAGTGCTTGTACAACTCATGACACAAACACAGAAAAAGTAACTTAATTTAACATCCGGCATAAAATAACCGGTTCTTATGTTTTGTTAATACTTCAATTAGAATTCAGTGGCCTAATTGTTCAAAGACAGTTTCGAACAATATTGTTTAATTTGTTAAATTATTTAATATAATTATAGTGTTTTTTTGTGAAGGAATATAAAAGGTATGTTAATTTTTTTTTAAATATCTTGATCAAACCTAGACTTATAATATCACAATTATAAGTTTGAAATTACCAACCCGTCTTGAGCTAGATGATTAATGCATTCCCAAAGAGGGTTGATGTCAGGCAGGCGGCCGGTCGTAAAAAATAGCCAAAACTATAAACATGTAAGGCAGACCCTGGCTAAAGCTGGGAAATTGCCAGGAAGATAATAAAATTTCTTTTTTATATTATTATAATGTTTAATGATATATTATTTATTTATTACGCCCTTTTCGGTCTACATCGATTAAGAACGAGAACTAAAGGTTAACATTGAAATTATATTAATTTCCTATAAAATCACCAGCTTGCCTTCAAATTAACCTTAGGCGTCAGTTACAATTAATAGCCAATAGGAATTAATTATGTTTACATAGATTCATAATTAAATTAATTAAAACTGAAAAAATACGACTAAATTTATTTGTATGACTTTTCATATTTTTGACGTAGGCTTTACTGAAAATATATCCCGAAAATAATTATAATATACTATCTGACACGGCAAACGTTATTTTGCCATATAAAAATAGGGTTTGGTGATAAAAATTAAAATTAAGGGTGAACAACCCTTATAACTTAGGGGTATGAGAAATAGATGTTGGCCGATTCTCAGATACTCAATATGCTCACAAATTTTCATCAAAATCGGTCCAGCCGTTTCGGAGGAGTTCTCTGTCTAACACCGCGACACGAGAATTTTATATATAAGATTAGATATACATAGTTAGAGTTAAATTTCAAGCATAACAACTGGGTAAGATTTAACAGCTTACAGCTAATGATCTAATAATAATTAAAACTTAAAATTTGGTTATTTTTAACTTCTGTAATCCTTTCTTTATTATACAAGCACTAGAAGTAAAGTTAAAAATAAATTCACAAAGAATTGCGAATAAAAATAAATATTATTAAATACGATAGTGTTTATATATATGCATTAATTAGTTAAGGTATTAATTTAATTTCACGCTACACAGTTTTTATTTTCAAACGAAATTTTCACGTGTCTTGACTATTCAAGTATATGACTTTGTTTGCTAAAATTATTGCTTTTAAAATAAAATAATACTAATATAAATACTCGCTTTCCGCCCGCAGCTTCTTCCGCGTGGAGTTCGGTTGTATCGCGTTTCCAAGAGAACCTTCCAAAAATCTGGAATAAAAACTATCCTATATGATTTCTCGAGGTCAACTCTATGTCTGTACCAAATTTCATTAAAATTAGTTCAGTGGTTTAGGCGTGAAAGCGTAACAGACAGACAGAGTTACTTTCGCATTTATAATATTAGTAGGGATATACATATATCTTAGTAATTTTTATGGAAAGTATATTTTAATATAATTTCTAATATTTTCAGCCTACAGATGGAGGATCTATCAAGTAATATGTCAAAAATGTTTCAAAACGTTATGGAGGTCTGACTTGTGTGTGTGTGTTTGTTTGTGTGTGTTTTTGTGCACTTTTCGCTTTTCGCACTTGACATACATATACCTGTATTGCTGTATTGTTCTCAAAATGTCGATAACTCGACGAGTGTGTGCATTTTTATGACGTAAATGTATTAAAGGTAATTGATTAAGAAAAATGCTATTTATAGAAAACTGACGTATTTGTTTTTATATATATTTAGGTTTCTATCAAAATGATTAAAAAATATAATTGTCTTATAAAGCCAGAACTTTTAAATAACAAATCAAACCTTCGCTGGTAACAACTAATTATTATCTTAAAGCGAAAATATGACAAATTCATTTTGTTGACACAAGTCGTATTCACAAAATACTTTCCCTCGTAAAAGTGAACAAACCAAACGTCATCACTTCGGGTGCTTTGGGAATTTAAAGGTTCTATTCAAATTGAATGTGTATTCCCTATATATATTTATAATTATAAAGTTTTGTTATATCTTAAATCTCAGTTTCCCCCCAATATCTTTCATTTATAATAAGATATTTTTGTACACAGGGCTTCGACATGCGAGGTATACTCTCCCTGTTCATGTCACAGCTCGCCATGTTCATGACGGCTGCTCAAAGCCTCCAGAACGGAACCAACATCGTGGACTTCCTCGGCCGAGCGATACAGAAAGAGGTGCAGGCTGTCAAACAACCGATTGATGAGAGCATAGCATTCGTTGGATCTTCACAATGTGAGTTTTCAACAAGAAACTACAAGAATAAACCTATTTTAGTTATTAATTTCTTATTTAGACGATATATAGTCAAATATTTATAATATTTATAACATGTGGATGGTTTAAATAAAGTTTTCATATAACTAATAAGATTAAAGACATATATTGTACATAGTACAAACTAGTGGAGTTCGGTTTTATCGCGTTTCCAAGAGAACCTTTCAAATGTCTGGGATAAAAACTATCCTATGTTCTTTCTCAAGGTCAACTCTAGCTCTGTAGCAAATTTCATTGAAATCAGTTCAGTGATTTAGGCGTGAAAGCAAAACAGACAGACAGAGACTTTCGCATTTATAATATTAGTAGGGATTATTCATATATATCGTAAGTACCTATAATAGAAAATTTCACGTACAGAACAACCTTGTATAATTTTCAGTTGTTTTAATGAAATATTAGTTACCTTAATTCCAATCAGCAATGTAATTCATTATGCATTCATTTCATTTGTTTATATATTATTATGATTATATTTGTGAAGGTAAAAACGTCAAGAAACTCCTCGGTGTGTCCTACGAACAGCTCCAGGAGACTGAACCAGATCTCAACGGACTGACCATTGTTTACAGATCTAAGTAACTAACTACATATATTATATACTAGATTAGTACATAGACTAGTACATAGTCAGTGGTGTCCTAGTGGTTGAAAGGCCCGCCTCTCATGCATGAGAGCGCGGATTCAATCCTGGCAAGAACCAATGTGATTTTTCCGAGTCATATGTACTTTCTAAGAGTTATTTAGACATCACTGATTAATGCATTCCCGAAGAGGGTTGATGTCAGGCAGGTGGCTGGTCGTAAAAACAATGAGCCAAAACTATTCACAACATGTAAGGCAGACCCTGGCTATAGCTGGGAAATTGCCAGGTAGAAGAAGAGATTAGTACATAGACTCAAGAAGAATAGGAAAATATTAAAACCGATAAATTATACATATACGAAAACAGTCAAAACTTGCGAGTTTTTTTACATTAATGTAGTGAACTTATTATAAGGTTAAGGGCGCTTAAAAGTCAGTTACTTGAACTTACGGTTGAGGTTTTTATGTCATAAATTAAGAATATATAGGAAATTACATATTATAAATATGTATTGAAACTGATAAAAATAGTATTGAGATATAAGATATCATGAAAGTCTTGTTTGTATTGTTTAATTTGGTAATATATTCAAACACAAAAAAGGAAAAATCACGATTAAATCACCATATTGAGTAAGGTTTTCTTATAGCTCTTTTTAGTCCTTCTATATGTCATAGATTACAGGCCAAGCTCCAAGGAGTTCTTCTATTTATAATTCCTTGTTCATTCTCTTCTTCTTCTATCTGGCAATTTCCCAGCTATAGCCAGGGTCTGCCTTACATGTTGTGAATAGTTTTGGCTAATTGTTTTTACGACCGGCCGCCTGTCTGACATCAACCCTCTTTTGGGAATGCATTAATCAGTGATGTCTAAATACTCTTATAAAGTACATATGACTCGGAAAAATCACATTGGTACTTGCCAGGATCGAACCCGCGCTCTCGTGCATGAGAGGCGGACCTTTAACCACTAGGCTAGTACTGACTTATATTTCCTTGTTAATTCTCTAGGTTGATAACAGCCATCATAAACATGACGTACGTGGTGGAGGCGCTCCAGAGTCGCTCGTCAGAGGGCGCGCAGGAGCTGGTGTTATTTGCACACGGCTTCACAGATGACCCCAGCAAGGACAGCTTCGGGAACATCAGCGAGGCTTACCTGGGTAACGGTGAGTGGACCAGAATAATTAATAAACATATACGATGAGAATTAAGACTTGTCTAGTATTAAAAACTGCATGCTCCCGATGTTTCGTTTACTTTGTACTTTGTAGCAACCGTGATCACGAACAGACAGACTATTGAAAATATTAGTTTTAAATAAAACCTCCCACTAAATTTCCGATCTACTGTTTTAATTTAATCCGACGCCTATGTACTGTGTATAAAGCCACTATCTGAAACCGTTTTTATCTATATTGTGAAAATTTTGGATTCGTAGCAATATATATCGGAAATATTAGATATTATTACTGAAAAAAGCATTTCATTATTACTATATATAATATTATTTCGTATTTTTTATTTTAAGTATTAATAATTATTATCGTAATTTATATCTTTTATAAGACGTTTAAAAGAAGGTTTTTCTATTTCAGTCAATAATCAATAAAATATTTTATTAATCTATAGAATTTACAATTTTTTCTAAAAATAACTTTATACCTATTACCAACTCAATTACAACGTTTAATTTGTTTGTATTTATAAAATATGATTAAATTTCCATCGAATCTGACAAAACCAAAAATACATAATATAATTTTACTGGCACCTATACACGATTACTAATGATTTTAAGTATTCACGAGTCCCAAAATATGACATAAAACAAATAACTTATTACAAGTATTATTTTAAAATAAGTGTATATAAAGATACATCTTTACATAATACGATTAATTTTATAATAAATCTAAGTTATTTATGCTGTTATCTTTTATATAAATCACTAAACACATCATCAAGGAAAATCCAAACACAATTATAATTCTCTGGTCGTCCTTACTAACTCCGACTTGACGTAAAAACTAATATACCGCATCCTGAATCACTGCTTTATGTTAATATGTGACTAATATATATACAATTATATTAAACAGTAGTTATATAGAGTATTAACCAGAGGTTCCAGGAAAACTATGAAACTTACTTATATGTATATTATAATAAGAACTACATATTAAAACCTATAACCTCCACCTAAGACTACATGATTGACCCGATGTTATGATAACAATACCATTCCATAGCTTGTGTGTATCAGGAATCTTCTGGTTCACACGCTTGGTGTTCATTCCGCGGAGTCAGCGGCGTCAAGAGTTATATGATATTTTATACATACAACGATGTTACCCCGTCGATGTTAATTTATTTTTTAATACATCGCGGGTACGTAAGGCAGTTCAATTTCTTAGATATATTGTATAAAATAAGTTTAAATAAATATTGTTACTTACTAATAGTTATAAGCAATTGTTTTACTATTCCATAAGTGTTATAAATTATCATGTTTTTAATATTGATATAAAAACTTTATTTCGAGCCCTGGGTTCAAGTCCAGTTATCTTAGATAGGTACTATAATAATTTCAATATAAAGAAAACTGTTATTTTTACTAATTATTTTTATCGTTGTACCCTAGGTCACTCGCGAGTGGTCGCCCTGGACGGCAGCTCCCTCATCCGATGGCTGTACCTGCGTGCATCTACGTACGTCCGATTCATAGGGGAGAGAATCGGTCACGTACTAGCTGCGATGGTCCAACGTGAGTTTAGTAAAATAATGATAAATGTAAATAAATAGAGATATAATAATTACTCCTGTCTAACAAAGATGGCCGAGTTGGTTCTTAAGCATATACAAAATATTTCAGTTCAGAATTAATAGAAAGAATAAAACGCGGAAGAAGGAACTAGTTATGAAGTTTTTGTTAACACAAACAAAAATAGTTATTAGTACATTCTAAATGCGTCAAATATATTTCACTTCGCCTCGGTTATCAAAGGCGTGCTTGTATCTCTGTTCGTAGTTTTGGTTTCTCAAAAATACGTCCAGCATCCAAATTACACGCTATAATTAAATAAAAAACTGTGCCATAATCAACTGTAGATTCTTGGAATTCTATTGATGTCTTATTAAGGTAATAAGATAAAAAAATATCCTGAATGTCAAACAGCATATTTCTAAATTTTCTTTTAAAGTCAAACACCTAATGTTGCCACGTTAGTTCATACACAGTAGGTACAGCCGTTATGAATAAATTACTGCCTGTGTCTTATGGAGATATCTGAGTTGCATTAATGCAGTGTTTTAATCTTTTTTATACCGCGAACCCTTTACGGGTTGGAAAATTTTAACGACCCCCCTGTGCCCTAGAAAGGCAAGGAAAATCTTATATTAAAAGTCTAGAGACATATTGAAGTTAAGCACATTCTCTGCATGGTAGATAACAAAACGAAAAGGAGAAATGAACTTCAGTTACAACTTGATTTCATAGATCATTTTCAAATATAGCACCACAATTTGACATGATTTTGAAAAATAAACAAGTTCACCCTTCTCATTACAACTTTGTTCATATTGTAGTGTAGAACTTTATCGTTTTCGTTTTGCCGGCGACCCCCCGAGTTAGTCTTCGCGACTTCCTTAGGGGTCGTAACCCATAGTTTGAAAAACACTGCATTACTGTAAAGGTTCATCAAAAAATGTTAAGCATTTTTTACGTAAAACAGCTACAAACATCCATATATTTCTAGGTACATGCATACATCTAAATAGCATATCGTATTTGTAATATAAATTGGATTTAAATTTTTTTTTTAAATAGAGACCACAAACCACAAAACGTTAATATAAGATCATGTTTTGTATTACTCATGAAGTTCCTGAGAAGTGTTCATAGTTCGTATAAATTGTTTCAAACGTTGTTGTTACTTTAACTTGATTGTTACGCAACTATTTATTAAATAGATCCGGAACAGAAAGACGTTTTTATAAACAACGCTATTGTGACTGAGACGGTAAAAAAACTACATACTATGTATAAATTAATTCTTATTATTACAAGCAAGTAAAATTCGAGTGTTTATACTACTAAAGTGATCTCAGAAGTCTTATTAGTAAATGCATACACGTAAAGCCGCAAATTGTTGAATTTTTGTCTTCATTCCAGTCACTGTTTGAAACAGCTTAATCCTTTTTTTTGCACAATGAGTATGTGTGCATTAATGGCACATGTTTCGAAGTATTTCTTTGCAAGTTTTATGTAGCTGGCCCCTGAAAAAGATGTTTTTATTTTTACCGGACCGGACATTATAAGAAGCTATTTTACCAATTTCCATTATAGAAATTTTATTTATTTTATAGAAATGAAAAAATATATATTTAAAGTTGAATTCACCACTAATAATACTACAATAATAGTAATACTATTTATAATTAGGTACATTAAGAAAGAATTAATCGATTTTCTATTAATATTTTCCGATCAGAAACCTGTTGTTTGATATTGATCTACTAAATATACAATAATACATTTCATGTATTACATACTTCTTTTAGAAGAACTTGTTTAAGTCCTAAATGCCTATAAATTTCTAGAATCTAGAGTGAGGTGAATATAATGGGAAATAACTCGACATTGTAGAACAAGTTTACAAACACGCGATGACACGAGTAGGTACATAAAAAACATAATTATATAATGTAGTTGTGAGATAAATTATTAACATGTTGTAATATGCAGAAAATATGTTCCGCATTGAGAGCGATGTTCAATTACTGTTTTATTTATTAAAATAATGTTGAGTTTTCTTAAAATATGACGATTAAATTAGAATATATTTTTAATAATCATAATCATACAGACTACAGATTATATGAATTTAATACTTTAATTATTTTTGTTCAAATGAAAACACTTTTTAATTGTCAATACGGCCAGTTTTCATGTTATCTTTCATATTTTTACTATGATACTTTAAAATGCGACGATTTATATATGGAGAACTAGCAAATATAGTTTTTGTTTTGACAATGCGAACTCGTATTTAGTTCAACATTAAATATGTTACAGATGGCCAGGATCCTAAGAAAATTCACTTGGTAGGTCACAGTCTTGGGGCCCATATCGCCGGGTTCATCGGTAAAACCTTCTACAACTTGACCGGGACCCGCATCGGACGGATAACCGGTCTGGACCCAGCCGGGCCTTGCTTCACACACGTAGACCCGGACTTGAGACTTAAAGATTCTGATGCAATCTTCGTGGACGCCATACACAGCGATTCAGGAGTATACGGAATTAAGGAGGCTGTCGGTTAGTTTATACTTTTGAAGTGAAACTCTTCTCTTATCTTATAACATGGTTGCGTTAAACTTTCAACGATGAGGGAAAGAGATATATACACAAATGTAGGAAGTAGGAGAGAGATTGAGTAGGTAGATCCCCAGCACATGCACATGGTATTCTTGCTATCCAGACAAGTAAACAGTTGTTCTACATTAGTTTATTTATAATATTCATTTTTTTTTATTTTGACTAGATACGGATATAATTCAATAAGACAATATTTTATTTTCCAAATTTGTAGATAAGAATCATTTACAAGGACGAAGTTTCACTTATTGCTCGCAAAAGTACTGCACGCGCTATTTCTTTTTTTTAAATTAATAGCTGAGCTTGCAAAATGCTGTTTCAAAAGTCTGAAATAACTTAAGAAACTATTTATTAATATCCAAATAAAGTTTGAATTTAACAGCATCCTAAATAGAAACCACTGAGGTTTTTAGTTCATAATCGCTTTAATATTCTACTATGAAAACATCTTATCCTAATGAGATCTAAGACATTCACGAATATTTATTAAAAATTGAAGTCATATTTTTCGGATTACTACGCGTATTTCTTCATTCAAATTTACATACTCCCCAATTTTCGGTTAGTTAGTTATTAGTTTCATATTCATGTCTTATCCTGGTGAAATAAGTTTGTAGAACAGTCCTATCTTCTGGTTTTTTCCTAAATCCCCAGGTCATGCAGATTACTACCCCAATGGCGGCTCCCAGCAGCCGTCTTGCGTATTCCAAACCTGTTCCCATTCATTCGCCTGGAGAATATACGGAGCGTCAGTCACGAGGCCGAGGGCGTTCCCAGCGGTTAAATGTAACAGTTGGGAGGAGTTCAAGAAAGGAAGATGTGGAAAAGAGATCAGGTCAGATAGAGCATAACTAACTTATTAACTTACTATAATATCTTATCAAATTTATTTTAAGCGAAAACTTGACTATTTTAAAAGACTATTGTTTATTTCAAATTAAATAATTTATATAAAAACGAAATTAGGATAAAAAATATGAAATACGAATAAATAACAATTCAACCCTGATTTTAAAGTTAAATGTCTTTACTGTAAAAAAATGCTTTAACATAGGTATTATGATATTTCTAAATTTTTTTTGATAGGTACTTTCGTTTATAGTTCATTGTCCTGTAGAATATCAAGTCATGGGTTTCAAGTTATATACAATAGATGTCGCTGTTAATAATTAACGTTTGTCTATTCCATAGTTACATGGGTTATATACAACAGATGGCGCTGTTAATAATTCATGTTTATCCTCTCTTTAGTTACATGGGCTTCGCAGCGGAGCCGACTGCCAGGGGTAAGTTCTACTTGCAGACCAGCGGCGACTACCCCTTCACCCTCGGAGAAGAAGGATTGAAGTATAAGAATAACGAGGGGATCGTGAAGAACATACAAGATACGCTGTTTGGATAGGTCAATGACCTGGCTATAACATGTGTTATAGTCTAAACGAAACCAGTAGAATACCTCTATACTTGTTGATGTAGCATTTTGTAATTAAATTTGTATAGTACAAACTTCAGTCTTAGTATATTATCAAAGAAATGTTTTTTGAAGATAATTTTTAACTTATTTATGTCATTGAACTTTCAATATGTTTTGTATTGTTGAAGTCAAAATAAATTATACACATGTAAGTTTATTTAATAAATAAAAGCCAGTAATGAAACAAAGCATCTTTATTGTAATATCTGTTCGTCATAACTTCGTTAAATATAAAATAATACGGAAATGGGACTCTTACAAAAATAAACATCTTCAATAAATATAGGGATGACGCGAGAGTTACTACACATATAGACATCGAATAGATGAACTACCGGTCCCTCTCACTGACTCCTGAAACTTACATATAAATAAAATGTCACATTAATATAAAAAAAGTGAAAAAAATATCCATCTGATTCAGAATCAGTAACATTAACTTAAAAACTACAAAGTAATTGTACATGTCATGCCATACGAGCGACGACGGAGTAGAATATTCGTTTTGTGCTCATCAATATGTATTTGTGATGGTCGCCCGATAAATAATATCATAAACTATACTAATTCACCTTGGAATGTCCGGTTGTTACTGACAGTATAATGAAAAACTTAATAAATATCAAATATGTACTCTCGTAGTGATAGTTTTATTAGTAAGATTCTGAAATGCGTTCTGGCATCAGATATAAACATCGATCAAGCCGGACACAACTGTTGCACGCTCCTCGCAAGCTTTCAGGCTCATCGCTTAATAGATTATACGACACTAACACACATTATATACTAAATAGCACCTAAACGGTGAAATATAATAGAAACAGTAGCAACATGACGTAAATATATCATTATATAAGGTCCCGATTGCACGACAAACCCAAACGTTATTTTCCCGCCAAAATATTTGTCAAAATTTTTCAGCTGTCACTTTTTTTATTCCATAAATCGTATTGTAAGGTACACTATGAAGACAATTAAATACACTATAGAAGAATATTTTTTATAACAGTAAATACGAAGTGGGGATCTAATAGATGTATTAATATTGATAAGGTTTTGTTGTCTACTTAACATTCAGTCCCGAAATTTGAGATTGTAGAGAAAATATTAATATATATTCTAAATAACGGTGGTCTACCTCGTGTGACGTATTTTTTAAAGCTAAATAGAAAAATTTCAGAATACCCTCCATTTAACGAACACTTTGTTTCTCCGCTATGGCAACATTAACTCGTCTACAAGCCGCAGCTCAGCCTAAGCTTAGTTATAAAAAACGGTAAATATATGAAAAAAAAAATGCCGACTTACATTATGTTGTTTTAAATACAATAATCTTAATTGCATCCTTAACATTAATAAAATAAAGTGCGTATCGTCACAACATCTATATATATAAAATAATATTAATTAATAATTGTAAACTTAATAGTAATTATTCCCCGCTGTCTGTCTGTCCGTGTGTTCCCACGTGTCACGTGTCGTGAGCATGTCGTGTGTCGTGTGTCGTGCGTGTGTCGTTACGGCTGGGTGCTCTGTTGTTGTATCTCAATCTTCTCGACCGTCATGTCCGGGTTCATGGCGGTCGCCTCCTGATAAACAAGAGAGATCATTAATAAATAAATCCTACTAATATTATAATTGCGAAAGTTAGTAAGTGTGTGTATGTTTGTTACTTCTTCACGCTCAAACGGCTGAACTGATTTTGATAAGATTTTGTATACAGGAAGCTGACGTATAGGCATAACATATAGGCTACTTTACATCCCGGAAATCCCGGAACACCGCGGGACGCAGCTAGTATTATATAACATATATATTATGAGAAATAATGACTGATATGTATAATTTATCCAGCGACATCTATATACCACGTGAGTTAATAAAACTAACGGTTGTTTTGCGTTCTTACAAACAAGAATTAATGAAGCGTTTTATCTCTTCATACTTGCGTCAATTAGACAAGTATATTTTTAACACAAATATTATTTTTTTAAACGGTTTTTTTAGCTCATGCCGTTTGTTTTATTTATTATTTATTCTTAAATTTAGTAATTCAAAGTTCACCCTCTTCCTGTCAACCGATTAATCTGAAATTTTGTATACACTTTGGATTTTGGTGACAATACAATTAATTATAGTGTAACATTACAAAACAAACATTTTAATCAACGATTGTAGACAATTGACGTGCCCCACGCTTTTATTTTAGTCTAGTCTGCGCATATGTTTATAATTGACTCGGCTGTATCTATTTTATTATTTTTTGGTTTTTAGTACATTTATCTTAAACATTGCAATGTATGTTTCACGTAAAACCGTTTAACTTAAAAAGTTTTTTTACCCATTTTTATTATTGTGTATGTATGTATGTGTCGTACCTGTATAGCCTCAGCCAGCGCCCGGTCGTGGTCGATGGGGTCTCCGTCTGACTGTATGGTGATCTTCTGCTCCACGCGCGTCTCCACCACGCCGTTGCGTTCCGTCTTATACTGAAACATACATTACATATTGTGTAACAAACACACACACACACAACCGATATTCATTGACTTTATTTATGAGACGAAACCTCTCATCATTCAAGGTCTTCTAGATGAGGGTAATTTATACATAGTATGTAGTTTTTTTACCGTCTCAGTCCTCATTGCGTTGTTTCTAAAAACGTCTTTCTGTTCCGGATCTATTTAATAAATAGTTGCGTAACTATCAAGTTAAATTAACAACAACGTTTGAATCAATTTATACGAACTATGAATACTTCTCAAAAACTTCATGAATAATACAAAACACGATCTGATATTAACGTTTCGTGGTTTGTAGTCTCTTTTTAGTAAAAGTGTTAAGACGAAACCTATCATCATTCAATGTATTCACGGTGCGTGTGTCAGGTCCATCGTTGTAGTGAGAGGAGCTTCAACAGTGACTGGGACTTGCTACCCAGGTGTAGGTTTAAGGGACCCTATCTAACGCACGTTAAACGCTCACCTCCAGTGTTCAAGCTCCTCTCTCTACCTAACCAAGTTTAAATATTTATGTATGTATGTGTGTGTGTGTGTATGTATGTTTGTCCTCACAGTGATGGTCTCCACGGTGCGTGTCTTGGAGCTGATGGTCTGCGAGGACACCACCTCCCCCTCGGCCGGCGGGGAGGGGGGAGGAGGGGGCGAGCTCATCTGGAACATTACACGCACAATACATTATAGATATATATAGTGTGATGAAGATCAATGTATCAGAATAATCTATCATGTGTATTAATTTGTTTATAAATTATGATATATGTAAAATGTTAGACGAAAGTCTGTATAATGTATTTGGTTTAAGATGAGCTTTGCATTTGTGTGAGTGCACACAAATTTTTGAATGCCACGTTCTTTTCAAGTTTTTAACCTGTTTATTCTGCTTTTACTCCGCCCCGCACCTTCCGCACTTCACCCTTTGTACTGGTAGCAACATCAAATATTGAAAACGTAATGTCAAGTGAAGAAAACTTTGTATTGTTTTTTTAAAAAAATTTATTACTAAAAAAAATTGTTCCCTAATATTTCCATTTGGCCTTTTACAAGTTTTACTTATTTTATTTTTAATCTAGAATAGCTCTATTCCATGTGTTATGTATCTATTTAAAATATAGTAAAATAGAATTCTAAATGCAATCCCAGCTTAAGTCTAACGGACTATAGCTTGCTATGTATGTATGTATGTGTGTGTGTGTAAATATAGTTCACTAAACAATCATATAATAAACATTATATATATAATCAGTAAGGTGTTATTTATCTTTATTTATCATAGTATCCTCACCCTAGCGTTAGCCGCGTGTAACACTCCACCGAAGGGCGCGTTCCCGACGACTGAACTGGTTGTTGTAGTTGTATAGGAGCCTGGAGCCTGGGGTTTAATACAATTGATAATTATTATAAGGAACAGTTATTTAAATGAAACTAATATTTTTCGGATTATATGTACTACGCGTATTTTATTATTTTAAAACTACATACTCCCGTCGTTTCAGTTACTTTTCAGCAACCGTGATCACGGACAGACTATATGTAGTATAATTCGAAAAATATAAGTTTCATTTACATTGGATAAATCATTTGATAAATGGTAAACCTTAAAACTTTTCTATTATATAATTCGATAGACTTTTTTCTTCTTATGTAATACATAATATATACCAACCTGCATTATTATTATATATAACAACAATATATTTTAAAACATTTCATGCCACAGACGTGCTAACAGTCACATTCATGAACATCAAACTCATAAAATAACGTGCTAATTATACTGACCTCCGGAATTAAACTATTAAATGTTACAATTATAACAAACTAGACAAAATTACTTAAAAAAAAAAACTAATTACACACTGAACACGGAATAAATTGAAATAATATTTATATTGTAATAAAAAGCATGCTTAGTTTATAATTTATATGCAACACTAACAAATCATATACATAACATATCACCTGTTGGAATTAAAAATATATTAACATTTACATCGTATAATATATCTGGTACACAATAAATATAACGAATGTAGAATAACTATAAGCTTCTCAGCAGAACTTTCATTATTTCATTATTAATAATAACAATTAAAAAAATTAACATGATCATTGTGTATCATTTGATCGATGTGAAATTTAATTTTCATCAAGAAACTCTAATATACAAATTATTAAAGTAATATTTTAAAATTAAACCCAGTTATTATACATATTAAAGTGATCATATTTGACGTATTAACTCATGTTATATATTATGGTAGTGCCAAATCCTGATGGCTTGTGGGTGATCAAATGTTCCATCGATTAAAAAATTTGAGGAATATTGAGTTATTAAATTTAAAATGAACGAAGACTTGAGGTTAAATGTGGAATGAATATCACTGAAAAACGTCTTTAATAGTTTTAATGTAATGTTGTGTCTGTGTGTGTGTATACTCACGGTGTAATAGTGACCCTCGGAGCCCTCGTCAAAGTCTATGGGAGTGCCGGAGTCACCGCTGCTGACTGAACTTTGAGAGCCTCTTCTCGTCAGCTGTTAGAGTCAGTCAATGATGGTATGACGTGTCAGGTCACCATGCGATATTAGGTGGGAGTGGGGGGAAAAGGAGAAAACAAAATAAAATTAGAACATAACAAACATGCTGGTATGGCGGCTTTTTCAGTTGCATTAGAAATTGGTTTATGTCGTTTATATATGAAATAGCTGTATCAACTGTATAAATGAGTTAGCGTGAAAGAGCTGCCATTCGATATGGTATAAATCGAACCAAATATGTATGTAGATGATGATACATGCGTGATGTGCGTGTGTGTGTGTGTGTGTGTACCTGGTCGCCGGTAGTGACGGTAGTTTTGACCTGCTGGGTCAATACCCTCTGCTCCTGCCTGGTAGCGGAGGAAGTGACGGTGTGAGCGACGGTCTTCTCCTCCATCTGTTGCGTCCTTGCCTTAGTGTCGAGGTCGTGGTGAGTGGTTGCCGTCCTCGTGGTCACGGCTCGAGCCGTCACATACGGGCTCTTGCCCTCCGCTTCTAAACTTTCCGCCTATTTCGGGGTTTGACTAACATGCTTACTATATACAACACTCATGTTACAAGCTTAGCTTTAAATGAAAAGAAAAACAAAAAAAAAAAAGGGGGGTTATTGGAAATGAAAGTAGAGGATGAAACGAACCTTGTTGGTGTGTGTGGAGAAGGTCACCTCTCCGGTTCCCAGGTGCTCGACCTCTTGTTCCACGTTGTGAGTGACGCCCTCGTCGTTCTTGGTGAGGAGTTGTTTGGTGGTTGTTTTCACGACTACGGGGGGTGTGGGTGTCTTTTTGGATCGCTGTGAAATCGGGATCTTAGAGGATATAGGGGTGGATGACGCGTAACCCTGATGCCTGATGTGTTCGCTCGTCGTGTATTCTGTGAAAGTTTTGGGTTCATCCCCGCGGGCTGGACTCTCGTCCTTCCCGAAGGTCGAGAACTTGTGCGTGTTGACCGTCTGTATGTCAATGTTGGCTGGTAGGTCGTGGGTTTCCTTTTCGATGGTATAGTTTCCGCTCTTGTCCTCGAAGTGAGACGGATCTATTTGAGAGTAATGTAGGATCAACTGGCCGGTGACCGGATCCCTGACGGCCGTGCTTGGATCTATGTCACCAGTGTCCGGATCAATGTCACCGTACTCCGTCTTTATTCTGCCAGTGATCGGGTCTATTTTTCCTGAGAGCGTCATCGTCTGAGTGACCGTGGTCCTAGCTCCCTTCAATCTGGGATCGTCTGGATCTACGTCGATCGTCTCACCGGTGATCGGATCTATTATTTGATACACATACACGGTCTTAGTTGTGATGATTCTGCCCGTTGTTTCATCGATAGTACATTCTTTTGGATCGAGTTCTTTTACACGACCCTTCTCGTCCTTTTGTGTGATGACATAAATCCTAATTATGATCAGTTTGCCAGTCCTTGGATCGATTTTGCCAAGTTTTGTGTAAATTTCTCCGGAGCCAGGGTCAACTTGTGATGCGGAGTAGAGGGGTTCGTTATTTTCATCGACGTCACCCGTGGCTGTATAGATTTGACCGTTGATTGGGTCTATTTTAATGAGAGCCTTGTCGATGTCGGTCGCTCTTGTGATAGTTCCTGTTTTAGGGTCTAAGCGCCCATAGATTGTGATGATGTAACCCGTGTTAGGATCGATTTGACCCGCTGTGTAAAGGACTTCTCCGGTTTGTGGGTCCTTTGGTCCCGCAATCCAGATTTGATTTGTTTTAGGATCAACTTTGACGTTCTTAGGATCATTGGAAACAAGCTGTTTCCCGGTTACAGGGTCAACTTTAGTCTGGATAATTCTGAGACAAATCAATCTTCCGATGTCCTTGTCGGGTTTACCAGACTTCGGGTTCACTTGACCACTGCGTAATAAAAATTGACCGGTAACAGGGTCAACTTTGAATTCTTTGCTCTCAAATCTACCAGTTTTGGGGTCATTGTACGTAACAGTACCCTTTACAAGATCGATTTGTCCATACTTAGTGTTTATTATATTATTGTCCGGATTCAGTTGCCCTGTTGTACTCTCAATGACCGAATGTTTGGGCTCGATGATACCTTTCTTATTATCAAGTTTACCAACAAACGTCGTTACTTCCACCACTGGGTCGATATGGCTACCAACAACCAGAACTTGTCCAAGTTTTGGATCGATCTTTCCTGTTTTAGGATCTGTAACACCTATTACTGTAATTTGGCCATTGTTCTCATCAATCTGAATGGATTTAGCATCTTGTGTTCCGTGTGTGTCTGTCACAAATATTACGCCATTTGCAGGATCGATGACACCGTATTTGGTAGATATATTACCAGTTTCGGCGTCAACTTTTCCTTTTGTATGTTCGACGACACCGTTCTCAATATGTATTTTACCGGTTACAGCATCTACAGGTCCAGTAATTGTGGTTATTTCTACTACCGGATCGTCTTGCTTGGCCATACTTACAATCATTCCCATATTTGGATCAATTTTACCAGTTTTTGGATCAATTGCACCAGAATTTATAAAGATTTGTCCAGTTTCGTTTAGAATTAAGCCATCCTTTGTTAATTTTTGACCAGCGGTATCAGTAACAACGATATTTCCCTTCTTTGTATCAATAACACCGTATTTAGTTTCAACTAAACCGTTCGGGTCTAGAACTCCTGCAAGGTGTTCAACTTCTGCTGTAACGAAATCAGGTTTCTTCGTCTTTGGATCCAGTCGAGTGAAGATAATCATAATTTTAACCATTTTTCTCCTCGGCGGTTCGGGAGGTGCTGAAGTAGGTTTGGACGGTGTGACAGCACGAACGGGCGTAGGAGGCGCAGCTTTTTGTAGCTGGCCGATTACTGGGGCAGTGGTGCGGACGGGAGTTTGCAATGGTGTGTGTACAGGGGTAGTGTTAGGAGTCTTAATAGGAGAGGGAGTTTGTCTAGCAGGTGATACACTAGCTCTCTGTGGTGCTACCTTAGCCATAACATTCTGCTTATCAACAATCACTAACTGTTGAGCGAATGATGAATCAACCTTGCCAGTCTTAGGATCAACTACAGATGAGGTGACAGTTATAAGTCCAGTCTTGGGGTCTATGTCAGCCTGTTTAAGTTCTTGTTTTCCAGTCACGGGGTCCTTGAAAAGAATTTGTCCAGACTTGGGATCGATAATGCCAAAGTCTGTATGTATTTTTCCGTCTTCAGCACTAACGTAGCCCTTCGAGGCATCTACGGTACCAGCACCAGCGTCAACAGTTTTGGTTTTAGGATCAAATTTACTTGTGATTATCACCAAACGTACTTCACCCTTCGATGGAGGTTTCGCATGAGCGACAACTGGTTTGTTTACAATGCTATACTGTTGTGCCAACGTAGGATCTACTTTTCCAGTTTTAGGATCGACCACTTGGCTGGTTACTAACATATGACCAGTAGATGGATCCACTTGAGCTTTCTTGATATCTTGCTTACCAGTCTTTGGATCTGTGAATGTAATCTCGCCAGTAGCTGGGTCCACTGTACCGAATTCTGTTCGAATTTTACCATCAGGTCCAACAGTTCCGCTGACCGTATCTACAGTTCCTTGTGTTGGGTCTATCTTCTTTGTTCTCGGGTCATACTTCGTGGTAATGATAACAAGATGAATTTCTCTTTCAACCGGTTTAGCATTCTTGTCAACAATGTTGATCTGTTGTGCCAAGGACGAGTCGACTTTGCCAGTTTTAGGGTCAACAACACCGCTTGTAAGGATGAGATGTCCCGTCTTAGGATCAGCGATTGCATTCTTTACCTCCGAATTGCCTGTTACAGGATCAACTTTCTCAATCTTACCCGTTTTAGGGTCTAAAACACCGAAATTGGAATGCACTCTTCCGTCCGCAGCAACGATACCTCGCGACGTCTCGATATGTCCGTTGGGATTATCAAGTCTTTTATATTTGTGGTCATATTTGTTTGTAATAATAACCAGTTGAACTTCCTTGCCGGGAATCGACGCAAATGTATCTTTTGGTTTATTAACAACTGAGTATTGCTGCCCTAGAGTAGGGTCGACGATACCCGTGTTTGGATCGATAACACCAGAAGTCAACAACATGTTACCCGTCTTTGAGTCCACGGTTGCTTTTTTGACTTCCTGTTTTCCGGAGACCGGGTCAGTGATGGTAATTTGTCCAGTGGCAGGATCTATAATTCCTAATTCTGTATGGACTTTGTCATCATCATCAATAGTTCCGGTGACGGTATTAATATGGGGGTTCGTCAAATCAAGTTTTTTATTCTTTAGATCGTATTTCGAAGTGACGATTACTAAATTCACCTGTCTTTCACGTATTCCTTGCGGCGCATCTTTATCTACCACAGTAAGTTGCTGGGCGAGAGATGAATCCGTTTTACCTGTTTTCGGGTCAATAACTCCAGTTGTGAGCAAGAGGCTGCCATTCTTGGGATCGAGAATAGCTTGTTTCGAATCTCTCTTACCGGTTTTGGGATCTGTGTAATATATTTTCCCTGAATTCGGATCTAGAATTCCAAAGTTTGTGTGAACTTTGCTATCCTTATCACTCACGATGGCTTGTGATGTTTCTACAAAACCGTTCGGATTGTCGAGTTTCTTATTTTTAGCATCATATTTCCCAGTTATGGCAACTACTTGTACTTCTCGCCCTGGCAATGAGGCAAAGTTCACTGTAGGTTTATCAACAATACTGTATTGTTGACCGAGTGTTGTGTCTAGTTGACCTGTCCTAGGGTCAATAACACCAGACAATAAAAGAATATTTCCCGTCTTAGGATCCACAGTTGCACGTTTAATTTCTTGTTTACCAGTTTTACTATCAGTTACTAGTATATCACCGGTCCTGGGATCAATAACGCCATACTCCGTATATATTTTACCATCTGTTCCGCTCAATACTCCTTTAATTGAATCTATATGAGCAAATGAGGGTTCTAACTTTTTGTTCTTCAGATCATATTTACTTGTCACTACAACCAATCTAACTTCACGGTTTGCTTTTGTAGCATCTTTTTCGACAATACTAAATTGTTGGCCGAGTGAAGAATCAACTTTGCCCGATTTAGGATCATGAACGCCAGTGGTCACTAAGAGATTACCAGTTTTCTGGTCAACATAGGCTTGTTTGGGATCCTGTTTGCCTGTTTTGACGTCGATTAAGTCAATTTTACCCTTTTGAGGATCAATCAAGCCATAGTTAGAGTGAACTGTGCCGTCTGGAGCAACGATGGCCTTAGATACTTCTACATGACCGTGAGAAGCGTCTAATTTCTTATGTTTACCGTCGTATTTGCCTGTGATGACCACCAAATCGACTTCTCTGCCAGGCTTATTTCCAACTTTGTCTTCCAGTTTTTCAACGAAGCAGTACTGTTGAGCCAACGTTGGGTCCAGTTTGCCAGTTTTAGGATCGAACACACCCGATGTGAACAGTATATGGCCAGTTTTAGAGTCAACATGGCCGTGTTTGACCTCTTCTTTGCCAGTGGTGGGGTCGGTGTAGTTAATTTGACCCGACTTAGTGTTTATAAGTTCCTTCTCCGTTTGTATTTTGTTATTCAACTTATCTAGTCTTCCCTTAGTGACAAGGATCGTTCCGTTGGCGTCATCTAATTTCTTAGTCTTCGGATTGTATCTACCAGTTATAATAACAACCTGTATTTCGTTATCAGATTTCTTTGCTACAGGAGCAATCGCCACAGGCGTCTCATGGTGAGCTCTTTCAGCATCCAAGAGAGCTAGAGTCGGATCGATTAAGTTAGACTTCGGCGATTTGGCAGTTTCTTTCAAAGCTGCTGACTGTACGTAATCTAGTCCTGGTGTTTTTAGTTTACTGAGATCGTCTGGTGTTTTTCGTTTCTCAGCACTCTCCGCAACCTTTTTCTCCTCTCCGGGAGCATAATTGAACGCCAGACCAGCTTTCCTTGTCCCGGGGCTCTGCGCGCCGTCCAAAGCTCTCTGTTTTTCGTCCGACACTGGTTCCTTGTCGTAACTGAATGCTCCTTTTGTAAGCGCCTTGCGAGTGGGACTCTTTTCAGTATCTGTATATTCATAAGGTTTAGTGAAGCTCGGTTTTTCGTCTTTAACCGGGCTTTTATCAACTGAATTATCTGATACCACATCTGAAGTATCCAGAACAGCAACTTTAGCTTTAGGATCTTTAACTTTGTCCTTGGGTGACTTATCTTTCGGAGATTTGTCTTTGCTTTTGGGTGATTTATCCGATTTCTCTTTAATCTTGATAGGCTTCTCCTTCGGCGATTTCTCTTCTTTGGGAGACTTCTCTTTCTTGCCACCGAACAGACCGAAACTTCCCTAATGGGAAGAGGATGAGGGCAGAAAAAAAGTAAATTAAAAACAAAAATTTCAAAACCAAAAAAAATGATAAAAACCTATTATATAACTTGTAGTTCGTGTACGCTTTGCTCTAGTATCTAATAACATATTTTCGACGAAACAAACATAGAGTGCAAGTCGAACAAACATGCCTCTAACAGTTATATGTACAGTCGATCACAAACTATTCTCACATTAAGTTGCAGTCTACTGTTGGTTTGAAGACATTACAGAATATTTATATACAAGTGGTGGTTACCTTGCTCTTCCTGGGTGTCTCCACGTTGTTCGTGATCCCTGGGTCGCTTGTTGTATCAGTACCTGAAGTTTGTAATACATATTAGTTATTACAAGAGATAGAAAAAAATCGGTCAAATTAAGGAAAAAAGGTTCAATTCTCTTACCGTAACAATATTTATGTATTTACAAATATATTTTTTATTATAACTGTACCATTTACATACTCTATATTAGATTTGTATGTATACTGACCGTTTTCGGCAGGAGTTTCATTGGATCTGGCGGGCGCAGGCATCACGCGGACGGCACCGGGAGGCGGCTTCTGTACATACATAATATACATACATAACTTCCTTGAAACGTAATTAGTAAAACGCAATAGCAAAACATATGCACATAAATACTGGGTGCTCTTCAAAAATATAAAAACCTAAATACAACTACAAAAACAAAATCGGTGGTAAATATTTCTAAATAAGTGCTCAATACTAGTATACTACGAAAATAAAAAAAACTTGTCAGAACAGAAAACAAATCTAAAGATATATAAAAATATCTAATACAAGTGACGATGGTCTAAGGATAATTCTGGTAAAATTATAATCGGCTATATACAATAAATTTTAAAATATATTTTTTAATATCCAATTATAATTAAACCAGAAATAACTGTTTGAAGGACACTACCAACTAGAAGAATACTATGCATCCTAAGAAAAAAAATTAAACAAAAAGATGATAAAATAACATAACTAAAATTGATCACGGGAATTCAGGACAAATAATTTCAAATTACCTGTTGATTATAACGAAACTTTCGTACTTCAATTAAATTATCCTGAATTTGGTATTAATTTTAGTTATATTATATTTATGGAAGTGAGCAATATTAAATAATATTAATGTTAGTGTAAAGCTCGAGCCGTGTAGACAGTGAGTGACCTTATCCGCGCAGTATTCTCCCTCTAGCGAGGAGGCCGAGGACGACGCGCCTCCCGAGCGACGCCGCAACTGACACAGGAGGCTCTTAGTATTTAATTATATGACACTCACCAGTATAGAAGACCGGCATTTATATATAATTAACTAAACACCACAGTTCATTATAAATTGGTTACATCCTATTCATAAACAGCGCCATCTAGCGTCAGCCTCCACTAATCAATGTTAATGTAGTGAGGCGATAAATAAAAATATATTATTATTCATAATGAGTGTGAAGTCATTACCGACAGTCAACGTACTATGTATATCGACGTGTTTGAAGCGAGTACTTTAACATGCAGTCAACTGATAGTGAGGTATCGTAAGGTAACTGATAGTATTAGTGGTTCGTTAGAATAGTTATACATGTATATGTGGTATGTTCGTGTTTTATTTGTGTTATATGTACCTTGTCTTTAACAGTGGGGCGCGGCGCAGGCTGGGGCGGCATGGTGTGACGCTTGGTCGCCTCTGGAGGCATATCCTCCTTATCGCCTGAAGCCAAGGCTGAAAAATATAAAAAAAGTCATGAGATGAAGTATTAACAATAAGGGGCCATCCATAAAGTACGTCTCACGTAAAGGGAGGGGGAGGGGGTCGACAAAGTGTGACATGGTGTGACAAGGGGTGGGAGGGCTCCTAAGTTTCGTGACATCACATTTCAAAGTCTAGAGCTACTAATCGCGTAATTTGAAATATTAATTAAAATCTTTAAAACTGAGCGCGTCATCACATATACAGGGTGACTGGTGAATTACTATCAATATTTAAGGAGAATACTCGGTACATGATTCTCATTTGAATTATGTAAAAAAAATAGGCACTTAATTTTTGACAAAATTTCCGTATAAATAAATAAAGTGTTGACTGTTGACACGTTCCAAGTGTTCCAAGTGTGGACGCGTGCGGCGGCGTGCTGATACAACACCTCGCCGCCGCACGCGTATGTGTGAGTGTGTGTATACCTAATCTGTAGGGTGTTCACACGATGCGTAATTAATTACATAACTTTTGGTTAACTTTACTTAGAAGTTTATTAATATTTATGTTATATTAATTTTTATTTTGTCATATATGATCGTCAAATATCACGTCCTCAAGTGTCGATAGTAATTCACCAGTCACCCTGTACTTATATATATATTCATTAGTTTATTTATTATTGCAAATATTTGATACTATGTTGATTTCTTAAAAAAGTACTTATTTTAAATGGAAATAAAACTAATTTCGGAACTGCTGTTTTAATTTAATAATTTATCGATGTTAAATTGCAAAACATGTGACGTCACACTAGGGAGGGGGGGTCTCAGAAATGTGACCACCTGTGACAAGGACGGGGGAGGGCTCAAAAACTCATGAAATTAGTGTGACGTATTTTATGGATGGCCCCTAATAATGGATTCTTTACATATTAATTGGTCGTGTATTCTGTGTAAACTATAAATATAAATAAACTATAATCCATTATGACAGAAATTAGTTCGTTATTTATCAAATAAATTGTATACATTTTATTATAAACAAACAACGATTTTTATATAAATACATTTTCCTTAACAGAAATATGTATATTTGAATCAGCGCCATCTATTCTATTGTCATTTTAATGTAAGTTTCAATAAGACGAAAACTTTTATTGCGAATTAATATTTATTATATATTTGTGTACATGTTAGTGCCGTCACTTCAGAATTTTATAGCTGATATTAAATACATTAATGTGTGGTGTCCAAATAACGATGAACCATTTCTTGGAAGCGACCATCCTCGCTAATGACATACGGAAACAATATCATTGATAAACATATTATTAAAGTAATGAGTGTCAGTTTGAATGGTAATAGTTCAATAACAATGTCCAAATAGCTTGACATAATATTGAAAGCATAAAATTTAATTTATTATATTATTAAAATTGAATATTATTTCTTAAACATAAACCGCAAGTCTATTGTTTTAAATTTGACTAACATAAAATTATTTTCTTTTGATATTTATTTATGTATTTTAATGTTCAATACTGGTAAGATTATTATGTATTAATTATGTGTAATTTATGTGAATTAAAATACTCTAAAACCGATACAAGTTCAAATTATAATAAAAAGATATTTAATATATAAAAATGGGGAAAAAATTAAATGTATATATATCGACTTACGCGTCGAACAACTAGGGCTCCAACAATCATTGAACACCATCTCACAGGTGGTATTAATATAACACAATAACTAATATTAATATTAATATATGTTTTTATATATTATATGTTTATATCTCCGCTGAGTTCGCCTCGTGACCGTTCGCGAGCGTCTCTACTCACTGACTGAATACACTATTTATAACTGACTACTTCACACTACTGATGTATACAAATGTTATGTTTGTGTGTGTGTACAGTCGTGTCAACAAGTCATAACATTAGTAATACTATGTGTACTAGATTTTAGAATACTAAATTAAATAGCTATGACTAAACTTGACATACATACGATATTAATAAACATACGAAGAAAATATTACTATTATTTTAGGTACAATTTTCACTAGTAATCCAATAAAATGTTGCTGATAATTAATATAAAGTATATATGTAGTTATCTTAAGGGTAATAAGCATTTTAGATGAAGCGATGACTCAGTGAATGCTAATTGACCCTTACATCACCTCAATATGTCACAGATCTCAGACAATCATTAATTTAGAATTAAATCACACACATAAGAAAAATGACTAAGAAAATTTGTTTGTGTTTGTATGAAGGCGCCTTAGCGTCTGGAAATATTGACATAAAAACGCGAGCGAAGACGTGGGACAAGTTTATAGGTCATTAACAATACTATTTCATGGGTCGTTAAGAGGTTTGTTCACATAATATGGACTACATATAAACTATTAACTAATTTTCAATATAATTGGTGTGTCCCGGTCGTTGTGAAGCGTGCATGAGTCATACTACGTATTGAAGGTCGCGTGATGCATCTCAATAAATATATTAGGTTTTTAAAACGCGCTGAGTTCATTGTGAACGGATAGAAATAGATTTGTATCAGGTCTTACGTCACGGTTATTATGACTGGTTATACATTTTGGATATTTCATATTAATATACTGTTAGGAAGAAGTTGTTTTTAAGTATTATTATGGTAATTATGACTTCATTCAATACGGGATATATGCTTAGATTTAACGTGTATAGATAAAATATAAATAGAGACTAGATTCTGAGTAATACTGAATTGTAGTTAATATAATTAAAATAAGATTAGTTAATGACATGTTAAAGTAACATAGGATTTGTTAATGACAATGTTGAACATATTGAATTTTAAGTTAAATTATTTATGAAACGTCTTTATATATCTGTACAATTAACATTAAATATTTATCATTTTGATATAATACATAAACCCTGACAAGGATATACGTTCCCAAAAGTTGGTGTGTATACATATTTTAATATTTATAGTACAAGTAAAATTTTAAAGGATTAACTATAACATTCTAAGTTTGATATTATATTTATAACTATGAACCCTAAATATATATATATATATATATATATGAATGTATTTCTAAAACATACATATGTAATTCCAAAACGTAGATATTTTTTGCCCAAAAATTAGTATTTATAAAGATATCTTAAATGCTAAATGTTTTTAACTCTTTTGTTTTTGTTTACTTTCAATTTTTATTTAATTTAATTCAATTTGTTTATTTTTTATTTTTTGTGTATTGGCTTTAAGTGGAAACTTGATTGATTTGTTTTTTGTTATTTTTATTTTTATACTAGTGTTTCTAAATTGTTTGTTTCCCAAATAAAATAAAATGTCTGTGTGTGTGTGTATGTGTGTTGTGTGTGTGTGTGTGTGTTGTGTGTGTGTGTGTGTGTACCGTCAGCGCTCCTAGAGCTCAGCCTCCTGTGTGAGAGCGCCCTCGCGAAGGTGGGCTGCGTCCTCCGAGGGTGCTCGTTGCGCGTCTCGTGGAGCGTGCGGCCGCTGTACCTGAAGCGGGACCCGAGGCGGGGGAACAGCGTGCTACGGGACACTGGCTCCGGACTCAGCAGTCTGACGGAGAGAGAGAGAGAGAGATTAGTTTTATAGACTATAGACAATATAGACATATTAGAAGACCCGGCGAACTTCGTATCGCCCTATAATCAAGAAATATCTGTTACGTTTTTTTATTTATATTTCTGGAGTTTACCTATTAAAGCCATAAATCACCGTGTTTTGAAGTGCGACAGAATGATTGACATATTGGTTAGTTGTCAAATCTAATGTCAAAAAAAAGCGTTTGTATCAACAACTACTGATAAATTAAAAATTAATTTAAAAAAAATTGTCCAACGGACAAAATTGTGAATCTAAACCATTCCCAGATCCCCTTGAACACACACAAAAAATTTCATTAAAATCGGTCCAGTCGTTTGAGAGAAGTTTAGTGACGTACACACTCACACAAGAATACACACTTATATAATTTCTTAACGACATATTATGTAAAATTTCAGGTCTATTAGAGTCAATACTTAAATTATGGCCTCGTGCTACATACATCCATTAGTCGCACTGTACACAAAATAATGTACTATAGAGTGACAAATGATCTTTCATCAACAAAATTCACCAATAATAACTATGACTAGGTATACGTATTATGTAATTTCTTAAGGATACATATATATAAAATTCTCGTGTCACAATTTTCGTTGCTTCCCTCCAAAACGGCTGGATCGATTCTCATGAAATTTTGTGAGCATATTGAATAGGTCAACATTTATTTTTCATACCCCCAAGTCATAACAATTATTCACCACAATTTTTTTTTTGTGATAAAATTTTTTGTTTTTATTTTTTTATAATGTGACATTAAAAATACATACAATCCTAAAGTTTTACTTTTTTATCACCAACCCAATGTTTGCTGGTACACTAGTATTATGTAAAATCTCCCTACTTGGTCTATTCCCTCTAGCTGTATATTCCTCTTGTTACCCCTATTTTTTTATATGGCAAAACAATGTTTGCTGATCCACTAGTATTATATTAAATCTCCCTACTTGGTCTATTAAAGTCAATACTATTCCCTCTATGTGTATATTCCTCTCGTTACCTGAAGAACGTGTGATGTTCGACGCACGTCTTCCACAGCTTCTTGGCCGCGCGGTGGTTGGCCAGCTTGAAGCCGACCGTTGACTCGAACTGCTCGAACTCGCCGGGCCGCAACTTCACGTAAAAGTTGTGCCGCTTGTAGCTGATCTTTAATATCTTCGGCCACGCGAACCTGTTTATACGGAGTCTGAAACACGACGGATATATTAGAGATAGTTTATAATTGTTTTAGACCAATGCTATCAGACAGACCATAGAATAGTATTATAATATAATTCATGAACATCTTATTGCGCGTTATTTTATTATTTTAACTACATACTCCACGTTTAAGTAACTTTTCATCAACCACGATCACGGGCAGACGAAATATGAGTCTGTCAGTTGGTCTTGTTATTCAAATGGCGCACATTTTAAATTTTATTTAATTCTTAAAAGCTACATACTCCCATCATTTCCGTTACGTTAACGAAATCGTGATCACAATTTGTTTTGAATGAATACTTTCGAAAGTCTTAGACGTCATTAACTTCTTTACTTTCCCTATAGAATTCTAACATCGGGAGTCAGTATTAATCGTTCCTCCACCGTGTATACACCCAGTATACTCACTTCTCTCTATGCACCAATAGTCCGGAGGAGCAGACCCCCAGCGTGATGTCAACATTCTCTGAGTCCTTGGCAGGATGCAGGTCCACGCCGTACATGGCCAACTTCTTGGCGTTTTCAAGATAGTTCAACTCGGCCTCCGCTGGCGTTTGACCTCTGGAAGTAATGATAGTTAGGATATTGTCATATATATTATTTAAAGACAAAAATTATACGTGAATCTTCATAATAAAGTCTTATATTATGTATTATAAACAATTTGAAATTCACGTTTTGTTTACTATATCTGTCACTCTATGTATTAAATTTATTATAAATTATTTAACTGGCAATACATAACACAAACAATAATTTGATTTATCGGAGGATGAAGTAACAAATTTTTTTGGCATCCATACTTATATGTTTATTTGTAAGGACACTTATATATTAGGATCCTGTCCTACAAGCCGTAATAAATGTATTAAATTAAGTAAGTTAGAAACAGCTTCATCATTTCGTATATTAAGCACGACAACTTAATTGATTAACCAAATATCCACAATTTATATTAAAACTCATTTTCGTAGCAGCATCCAGTAGTACAAACCGTTGTATGTATATATGTATTACTCCAAATTAGTTATTAAATGTCTAAGCACTTGGTGTTTTATCATGACAGCTTAAACGAAATGTTCCAGAGTTTATATTCAAACCCAGTTCATCTTCTTCTACCTGGCAATTTTCCATCTTCAGCCAGGGCCTGCCTTACGTGTTGTGAATAGTTTTGGCTAATTGTATTTACGACCGGCCGCCTGCCTAACATCAACCCTCTTTGGGAATGCATTAAACAGTGACGTCTAAATACTCTTAAGAACATATGACTCGGAAAAATCACATTGGTACTTGTCAGGATCGAACCCGCCTCATGCATGAGAAGAAGGCCTCTTAACCACAAGCCACCACTGACATTCAAACCCAGTTCATATATATTCATTCATTCATTCCATATTCTCTATATGTTCCTAGTCAGTGGTGGCCTAGTGGTTAAGAGGCCCGCCTCTCAAGCTCGAGGGCGTGGGTTGGATCCTAGCCCGGGCAAGGACCAATGTGATTGTTTCGAGTCATATTTACTTTCTAAGAGTCTTTAGACATCACTGATTAATGCATTCCCAAAGAGGGTTGATGTCAGACAGGCGACCGGTAGTAAAAACAATTAGCCAAAACTATTCACAACATGTAACGCAGACCCTGGGTAAAGATGGGAAATTGCCAGGTTGAAGAGATTTTCTATTATTCCTATTCCTTCGTCCATACCTGTGCGTCTTGTATAACTCCAGTACTTTTTCCTCCAGCTCGGTCGTGCAGGCGGCGGGCGGGACCAGCTTGAGCTGCTTGCACAGCCCCGGAGCCGGCTGGTCGTAGTCACCCAGCTCGGACTGCAGCAGGTAGCTGGCCAGCAGCGCGTGGGTCACCGTCGAACATGGAAGACGACCTGGGAATATTATATATTATATCAGATATTATAAAACTATAAAATACTAGTTCTTGTCCGCGACTTAGAGATAATTTCGGAATTAAATATTTATTTCTTTATTTTATCTGATCTGAGGACTATTTCGCCCTAGAGGCCATAAATAATCACATGTTGGAATTTATTAGGTTTTTTTTTTTCAATCGAAACAGAATTAAATATCCTAATGTCCGTTTCCACCAATTGTCAACTGTATACTTACAGCCATTCTTAAGTTACAAACAGTATATACATACACAAAATATATTTTTAAGTGAACTTTAGCCTATACGTAACAAAAATATAAGTAGTTTTGTAACGGATGTAGATGCTTTGAGACATAGATGTTTTGTTTGAGGTATATATTTCTAGGTGATAGTATACCTTCCAGCAGGTCCCTCCTAATGGCCAGTACCAGCTGGTACCTCGTAAGTTCTTCCTGCAACTGTGTAGGTTCGGGAGGATAGAACTTTACAGCGAACCTCACTTCCCACGGCTCATCTGTAATAATATAACACTCATATTCATTATTTTATATACATTTCATAATAACACCGAAGCCGTACATTCCATATTGAATTTCTCTAAATCCGATGATCGTATTAACACCACGGTCGATATATTTATTCTGTAAACCTCTTGGTGACAGTTTAACCTCAACATAAGCCTAGGCTCGTAATATTTAATCTTCCATCAATATGAATCGAGAAGATCAGTGAAATAGCCTTTAATGGGTGCGTTTCGTCCGATGAGTGAGAGATCCAGTTGCCCTTTATCTATTCCCACCCTTTCCTACAATTTCCTTATTCAAACCCCTCCCTATTAATAAAAACAAGAATATACAACGCATATACAACACAAATGTTACCAATATCCACGGGCGATGGTAAAAACCTTCCACTAAGTAGGTTGTCTGCTAGTTTGCCACCTTTAAGATAATAAAAAAAATTGAAGTTCGATCGTATACTAACGTTTCAGCATCTTGGAGACTCTCTTGTCAAGGTCTATCCAGACCCTCGGGTCGCCACGGTCTTCGTACAGTAGACCAAAGTAGTCTTTCTCCACCAGGTTCAGACTATCACAGACCTTGCTGAGAAGGTCATGTCCACGGATCTTCCTCTGAAATCGTTATTTACTTATAAGAATTTTTGGTTCGGGCTCCATAACAAAGTATTTACATAAATTTCTTTTGGGACTAATATTTTGACGTAATCTTAAATTTGACAAAATACAATAATATATCGACGGGTCCGATGTATAAGGGCCAATGTAGAAATTTAGTATTTTTTTACTTTTAACACTTTATAATACTGTCTACAACATCCATTTAAAAAATGCAGTTTTGTTGATGAAAAGACGTAGTTTTTATTGCAGTAAATGGCATAACTCATAAGTAACACATTTTTAACGTATAAGGGCTTATATACATTATTTAAAAACCTATCAGTTTTTTACAAAGTTTATCAAGATTAAATGACGTACATGTAGGTCATAGTTGCTATGCAAAGTTTTAAAAGCATCAGTCGTCGCAAGTACAAGATACATTAAAATCAAACTTAAAGCGCCTCTACTGAATAATTTTCATATTGCATATTGGCTCTTATACATAAGAGCCATTGATATAAGTCTTTAACTATTCAAAGAACTCTTAAAAGTACTTATTATTTGGTTAATATCTTAAAATCTTTTATTTACAAATTGTTTTAAAATACGAGAAACATTTAACATGTCATTCTGTGTGTAATAAAATAGAAGATTTATTTAATACATTTCTAGATGGTAGCACTAATTGTGTGATAATTCCATCCATCGATCCATCGTCATCATCAGCCTATCAGAGCCCCCTGCTGACCAAAGGCCTGTTTCTCATATGGAGAAGATTTGAGCATTAATCACCACGCTTGCTCAAGACGGGTTGGTGATCGATATATTATAACTATTTTGAACGTATTAATATTGTTCTTACATCAGCTTCAAGGTCCATGGTTGAGCCATCGAGTAGTTCCACCTTGATCCTGGCGAGGTTCCCGCTCCTCCTCTTGGGCGACTCCTTGGCCTTGGCCTTCTCATCCTTGGCCTCCTTGGCCACTCCCTCCGGCATCTTGCCGCGTACCCTTCAACTCCTGGGAATAGAACAAACGTTTATATAACTCGGTTATATTAACATGGGATTCAAGACGAAAAATCCTAGGTTCAATAGAAACTATAGTATATTATGATATATTACATAAATATTATTTTCGCGCGTATGCATAGTTGCTATTTAGTAGTTTCAACTAGTTTCAACTACAAAAAAATATACTTAATGCATAGTTTTTCACTGAATGTAACTACATTTTCAAATTATTATTTTTTTAATTAAAATATCATTTTAAACGCTTAATGCGTATATAGAAATATATATTGCATTTATGCATACAAATAATGTTTCATGTTGAGAGTGTTATGTAGGTAAAAAAAAATTTTGTTTTATTTAATTTTATATATACAGTGGATTTCATTAATAACGACCTCGGTTGTAACGACCTTTCGGTTATAGCGACGTCGAACTTACGTCCCTAGAATTTGAAGCATACTTTCGTATAAATCCATTCGGCAATAGCGACTCCGGATATAACGCCTAATTCGGGTATAACGACTTGTTTTTATGAACTATTTGGGACAGATTCCTAGAAATTCATTGCGGATATTGAGACGGAGTCGGCAAAGGCGCAAAGACTCATTCATCAACTTTAACTATTAAGCTTGTATTATGTAGGAATGTAAACAAAGGATAAGAATCTTTTGTTTACAATCGCAGATGGTCAAGTGATTTGTTTCTGTGTAGGATTACTTAGCACGTGCATGAAGTTAAAATTATGAATCAGTTACGTATCAATTTCCAGTGAGTAAACATCGTTTCTTAAACTTGTGAACATGGCTCCTAGACATACATTTACTGTTAAAGAAAAAGTGGATATCATTTCGAGACTGGAAAATGGTGGTTATTTCGGATATAGAGACCTCCGGATATAGCGACAACATTAAAGTGGTCCCTCCGCCGTCGTTATAACCGAAATCCACTGTATATATATATCTATATATATTATATAAAACCTGTTATATACTATATCGTAATACGCGAGCTATCAACAACCCACACGTTTAAAGTCCTCTACGTGCATTTATTGAAATAATGAAACTTAACGGGCACCGGTCTTAAGATACGAATAAGGCTACAAACAGACAAACTTATAATAATAATGAAACCGGATCCTTTATCGATATGCACATCTGCCGTGAGCTTTATGATCCACTTACATTCATTACGACATACTTTAACACAAATATAAACAAAAATAAACTAATACTATAGGATGAATACGCGTTATTTTATTATTTTTATAACTAAATACACCCGACGTTTCGGTTACTTTGCAGCAACCGTGATCACGGGCAGACAAAATGAAAATCTGTCAATGCGGACGCATAGTAATCCGAAAATATTAGTTTCTTTTAAATGAATACTCGCTCAAATATTAGATCTAAATATATATAAACTAGTTTTTGTCTGCGACTTCGTCTGATTAGAGAGGAGAATATACGATGTGTGTTATTACAATCATGGTAGCAAGTCTAGTGTCATTCCTATTCCTTGTTACGTGTGTACATATTCCTGATACTCCGCGGGAACTACACGTAATTTCATGATAAATTATAGCATATGTGTTATTATATCAAAGAGAACTAAGTATAAAGTTTGATACAAATCCGTTCTATAGTTTTTGCGTGACAGATAAACAAACAATTATGTATATCCTCAAATTTCTCATTTATAGTACACAGTATCACGTAATTAATCTAAGACATATAATAAATATAAAATTTCATTATGAAGATCCCAGCTTCATCAGAACAGATTGATATTCATATTTCCACACGTTATATATGATCAGTATTTTATCATAATCGATACATCAATTGAATATTAGGAAGTGCTATTGCAAAAGATGTTTTAAATCCAGTCATACTGACTAAGAATGAAAATACGAAGAAAACAGTAATTCGTCACCAGTATTAAGTAAATAATAATAAACACAGTCTATTTAAGTGTTAGGTCATCGGGAGTTACAACTTTGTTTCAGAATAAGTAAGTTAACTTAAAACTATATTATCTCAGTAACAGAGTTTACTGGATAGAAAAAAACCTGTTAAATAAATAGAAGAACTCTAATGATAGAATAGGAAGAAGTAATTCCAGACATAGAAATTTCCTTAGACCAACTAACAGATTTTCAGTAGAACTGTGACCTAATCGTGAGTAACTAAATTTCGCTGTATATTACTAAAGGTGTCACTTTATTAGGCATTGCGTATTCGCCGCATTTGTTCAAATATTTGTACGTAGTCCAAATAGCGCAAACACGACATCCACACTTGGCATGCCAACAACACGTCTTTACGCGTTTTCGCTTATTTGTGTATATGTCTTATTTGTGCAAATATGTCAAATGAAGACGAATAAATCCTCCACACATGGTCTTTTTTGACCGAACACAACAAATAAACTCCAAGTGAAGTACTACCTTAAGAAGCAAATTCATTAATAATGATCTATAATATATATGTACACCTTATAATAGTTTATTATTATTCAAGGAACAGCGTGTATGATGTAACTCAACAATGGACACACGGACCGCAGCGCATACTATCACGTACTCTATTAATATCATATGATATACATATATTAATTTTATTTATGTATACTAGCTCTTGAACCGGGCGCTGCTCGCGAGTGTGGTGCATTATTATAGATCTGCAACCGTTGAACTTTACAGAATATATAGTAATTAGTAAGATCGTTTTAGTAGATAGAGTTATTAATATACAAACGAATCTACCTTCTCATTTATATTAGTAATCCTTACAATATTAATTATTAGATTCAAACTTGTAAAGAAACGAAAACTAAAAGAAAAGTTTTATGAAATTATGATGTTATCTTTTTTTCTCGTTCACACAACAAACCCGAGCTGTATAATTCTACAACATTCTCACACGGTAATGTGTAACGGCACTTATCTATTTATAGTTCTATATACATATATGTATATAAATACTATTACATAATTAATACTCTACATAAAGTAGATTATTCAAACAACTATTAATATCACATAATATGGGATATGCACTGAATTAACAAATACAATCTAATTAATAAATATCACTATATATATAGACTAGTTTTTGACCGCGACTTCGTCTGCGTTAGTTTCAGAATTAGAAATGTATAGCTGACCGGACGAACTCTATTTTTCCTTAAAGACAGTAGATTAATGAAGATTTTGTATTTGATCAACTTATTTTTTTCTTTTTCAATCGTATGAAAAACATCTTATGTCCTTTACCTTGTTCTAAGCTATCTCTCCACCAATTTCCAGCCAAACCCGTACAGCCGTTCTTGAGTTACAAACAGTGTAACTAACACGGCTTTATTTTATACTAGCTGCGCCCCGCGGTGTTATCCGCCGATTTCCGGTATTTCCGGCAAGTAAAGTAGCCTATATGTTATTCCAGGACGTCAGCTTCCTGTATACAAAATTTTATAAAAATCGGTTCAGCCGTTTGAGCGTGAAGAAGTAACAAACATATACACACTTACAAACTTTCGCAATTATAATATTAGTAGGATAAAAAGACTAATTTCTGTATATTATATAAAAGTTATTTTTCTATGACTACTGTAACATTGTAATATAATTTGAAGCAGCGATGTAGTCATGTTTTTAATAAGCTTACTAACAATGGCTCACCGTAACTTTTTTTTTTTTTTTTTTTTCTACGAGGGGAATCTTTTAAAGACTTCCTGCCGCGGGGGAAACGCGACAGGGGCATGTGGGATTTCCACCCACTAAACCACCTCGACGTTCTCTGCGCTGTGCGTAGACTAGTGAGCGGGAACGGCAAGCCATACTTCCGCTCACTACGCACGAGTCCCGAAAGGGACTCCGCCATCGGCAGGGGTATCAGTGGCTGACCACATCACCCCTCCGACTCAAGAGCAGCGTGCCGGGAACGCCAAACACGCCGCTCTTCCTCTAGCCTATGTTACCCGGACGCCGGTTCCCCACCGACGCCCGGAGGCTTCCTCACTGGGGAGGCAGGTCGCGAGCATAAGCCCGCTGCCTTCGACCCAGCCTTCGTCGGCGCAGCGGCGCCGAGGAGGGGTCGTCTTCCCTCACTCGTTCAGCAGCCTCCTTCTGCAAGATGACTCTCTCGCTGAAGTCGGCCACCGCCTGCCATGCCCTCTCGCTGCCGACCATGGCCTGGACCACTGCCGGCAACGAAAGGTCTGCGCCAACCACGCGGATGAGTTGGCTACGCTCGGATATCCACGCTGGACATTCCATCAAGGTGTGGTCAGCGGTGTCTTCCACGCGACTGCAGTGGTGACACGTCGCTGTCGGCTCTCTCCCGACTATGTGGCACAAATACCTCCCGAAGCAACCGTGCCCCGAGAGGATCTGCACCAGCCGGAAGGTCAAGGATCCGTGTCGGCGGTCCACCCACTCCATGAGGAGCGGGCGAATAGCCTCCACGGTTCGCAACCCGGCCACTGGCTCAGAGAGCCTTTGCCTCCACCGATGGAACAAGGACGACCGCGCAGATCGTCGCCAACTATCCACCCGATCCCGGTCCGGACTCGTTCCCCGGGATCGATCTCGCGCGCGCTGGTGGAAAACCTCCGCCAGAACCTGGGCATCCAGTTCCCAGGGAGGCGTCCCAGCCAGCACGCAAGCCGCCTCATGAGAGACAGTGCGGTATGCTCGTACCACCCTCACCGCCATGACGCGCTGCACTCTGTGCAGCGCAGATGGCTCACCGTAACTATCGCCTGTTAATTCAACATAAAAACTCTTCAAGTGACTCACTGGTTTCAAATACGATGCAATTCTTTGTGCACCTATTTCATTTATATTTTGTGTTGAAATATATTTAATATTGAATTATTTCTTGCATTTAAGTGATTAAAGTTTTGTATGTATGTATTTTAAATAGTCTGGGTTATTAAAGGTTTTTTGTTATTTTTAACTACATATTCAAGACGTTTCGCTT